GTTCTTCACAATCACCGTTCTTGCAGTTTGCCTTCATTAGCCATTAGTCAGGTTTCTCCAATATATATTTTATTTAACTGTTCCAGGACTGCTTGCAATCCGGGATCCATCTTCCATTCAACTGCTGACAGCAGTTGCAGAATTTATCTGTTTTCTGGAACACTTATCCACAGCCTGTCACAATCTTGACCTCAGTTTGTTTCATTTTACTAGTATTACACTTATACACTCTTACATTATTCTTTTCTTGCATTCACTAAATTGTGTCTGAAGTACAAAATTCACTGTTTTCCACAGCATGTACTGTTTCACCATGTGACATAAGGCCTCACAGATAGAATAAGGGAGCCAGAGAAACGGCCATTGCTAGGCAACGGCCGTGTAATGACAAAAGAATACCAGAGCCATCATGAAGCAACATATGCAAACAATGGAGGAACTGTTAGAACCAGTATTTTCCTTTTGGTCCATGCCAATGCTGCATAAGGTGTCAATTTTGCGTTTTGGCTCAGAAACCAGTCAATAATTGACAGCTAAAGTGAAGGTTGGCAGTTGGAAGTCAAACCAGCCTAGGAGCTACCAGCTGAAGCCAGCCTTCAGAGTATGAATCTGGCGTGAGATGGTCGCCAGCCTGCAAAGACGTGAGCCTGGAACCAGAGGAACATTTGCTGTTGGAAGCTGCTGCCAAGTGACGCCACTGAGGATACTGGTCTATGGTATGACAGTGATCTGTGAAGCATAGTCATGAGTTGTTTAAAAGAGTCCGGCAAATCCAGTTATCAATCCAAAACACATGTATCGTCACTTAGACATGTGACAATATATATTGTGACACAAAAGCTGGAATAATTATTAACAATAGTCTGTCATTGCTAGGCAGCGGCCAGTAAATATGTTTCCACAGCAACCAAAACACGTTTCTGCTGCAACAAATTAACACACAACAGTAGAGGAAGTATTGGAAACTGTTATATACAGGGTGTCCCAAGAGGAATGTGCCAGACTTCGGGAGTGTGTTCCCCATGTTAAAGTATGCCGATATAACCCAAAACACCTATGATGTCCAAAGTTGAACGGTTATGGAGATAATGGTCCAAGAAAAGCGTGGTCTTCTGGTAGGTCCATGCACTGTACCTGTCAGCTGACAAGTCTTATCGATGTTTGTCCTTGAGTGTGGTGATGATGGCTCACACTAGCCGCATACACTCGCATACTAGAATGTGCAGTCAGCCATGTTACGTCGGTGCTAGCCATTCATGTGTCATGTATAGTGCTTTGAAGCCTAACGACAACTATGACATGGCGTGCGAGTTTCTTTGTAGTTCAATTTAATGGCTTCATGTCACTCACAAGTTAGTTTGATGTTATGTACATTATTAACATTACAGAAACCAGATATTCCTGGCAGTTTTAATATGTATTTGGTAATCAACAAGTGCGTAACACCTGTCGAAGTTTCACGCTTCTCTGACCATTATCTCTGTAACCGTTTGACTTTGGACTTAGGTGTTTTGGGTTATATCGACATACTTTAACATAAGGAACACCCTCCCAAAGTCTGGCACATTCCTCCTGGGACAACCTGAACGTGGTTCATTCCGAGACTAGTGCAGAAGGAAGAATATTCAACAACATGCTGTATGTGTGAGATGTACATTCCAAGCATGTTCATGGGAGACAGTCCCATCTTCCTGTCAGAGAGGATGTTACATAGGGTCAGTTACTTCAGGAGTTCAGTTGATATGAATCTCTGGTCCTGGTTCTCAAAGGGCTTGATGCCAAGCCGAACTGATTGGTGGTAAACTGCCAGTTGTAAAGTAACTTCGGTTGACTTTGAAGATGGGGAGTTATCCGCATGGAGGTGGGTTCAAGTATCTCCGTCATATTCCTGAAAGTCATAGGAGGTGACAAAAAGGGAACCCAGTGCCTTGGGGTATAGTTGGGCTACTGTGTTTGGAAGGGAAGGATATAAATATGGGGACCTGGCCCCCCAGGCTGGGTAGCCTCAAATCTGACAAGTAAAATATGATCATGAGTCCCATGGGATTCTGACCCAAGAATGACAACACTGCCGAGGGCCAGCAGCAATTGTGAACAACCAACCTGTCCTCTTCTCAGAGAGGGCACCTCACATCAACAAACCCACAACTATCTGGCAGTAACAAAAATCTGATATTGGGCCCCATTTTGGAGCTTGACACCAAGACAAACTGGCTGACCGACCATTGGTTATAACATAACTTTGTCTTTGACTTTAAGATATGGACTTGTGAGATGGTAGCCAGCAGGCAATGATGTTGGCTTGGAAGCAGAGGAGTATTCATTGTTAGGAGCTGTTACCAAGCAGCAGATAACAAAGACATAGAAGGCTACATGTGCTGCAGTTACGGTTATATGAGTTATAAGCCTTCACTAAATCCAGTTATCAATGCAAACCCCATGTGTGGTCACTAACACATGACTGTATGTTTTTGTTTTAGGGAGGCTAGTAGAATATTGTAACGTGTCTTGCCACTGAAGACAACGTTTGGATTGTTAATTGGTTTGTTTAACAACCTACAAATTGTAACTATGATTATTTATGACACAGGTGCGGGTTTACCCAATTTATAAACCCTACACAATAATCTATTCACTCTGTCCTCGGTAGTCTTCACGTATTTATAACGTGGGAGCTATACAAGTCTCTTTGAATTATATACTTCCAATATAACTGTACTTCAGCACCCAAATCTTGAAGTCACTCAATAAGTCTTCACTGGCTGGCTTCTCAGTTATCGCGCACTATCACAGATTATCACATATAAAATCTCTTAATCATGTGTTCGGTTCTTCTTCCCGCAACTGCTGCTGTATTTCAACTGACTGCCTAGGCATACCAGTTCTCTTATAAACCCTCAACCAGACAGCGGAAAACGCGCCTCACTTCCCTGTTGCGTAATCGCTGTGTTTACAGGTGTTGCTGGGCAACACTGCCAAGAGTTGTTTATTGCTGTGTAGTAGCCATGGTATCCCCTGTTATGTCACTGTGAGAAGTGCTGTTACATCACTGTGGGAAGTGCTGTTATGTCACTGCGGCAATGGTTGCCTGACACAGTTGCTCTTCTGTTACTTCACTGTGGGGAGGGGGTGTTTACCGAGCGTTGCATACTGATGGAAGGAGTGGGGGTATGTGACGTCACTCACGAGACTGCAGAGTTCACGTGACCCCTACTTCCTGTTGTGCCATCCACGTCACAATATTATTATTTGAAAGATTTCAGGATGTGACATTGCAAGAAAAAATACAAATTCCTCATTATCTGTGGTATTGCTATGAATCATTCCTATCATTGCATTAAGTAGTCATTAGAGGAAATTTTGAAGGTATGTATAAGCCATGTGCCAGTTTCCAAAAGTTAATTTTCTTCAGTCCATTTGTTAAAACTGTGGAAAAGAAAATGGTTCATAGAGTAGTGACTGATGGTGAAGAAAGTGATTTTGTTTCAGACAGTCTGGAGATGATTGCCATGTATGACTAGATGAGTGGTCTGGCTATGTAGAAGTACATCTTTGGTTCAGTTTAATTTCAGAATGTATTTGGTAGTAATTTACAACCATTACACATTTCGTCTCCAGTGAATTTGCTGCAGTTATCACTGAACAGGCAACTTCATATGCTTAGTAGTGCATAGATAAAGAGCGGCAGCCAGTGAAGTGAAATGGAGGAACTGCATTAGAAATTTAACAGTTACAACATCACACTTGCTAGTATAAGGAATAATTCAAAAACCTACTACAGGCATGCTTTCAAGGAAAAAGATAAGAATTCCTTAGGAGAGGTCATCAACAAGTGGTGTTATGCCACCCACTGAAGTTTTGCTCTTGGCTGATAGTTCTTAGCCAGGTAAGAAACAGATCATAAATTGCCCAGTTTCTGATTAGGTTATTTCCATTTTTCAAGTTACATTTTGGAACAGAACATTTCATACCATGTAATTGAGAAATTCATCACTGTCTTTGTGGTATCATTCTGAAAAGTCAGAGCTGAAGCCATTCTCTGTGTTTTGGGTGCACCTGTGAGCCTAGCCTAACTGTGATAATCTCATAGAGAGCAATGCATGAAGTGTGTGCAAATTCACATGAAAGTCTGAAATTGTGAAATGACATCTTTCACAAATTTTTTGGTGAACACTTTGAACAATATCATCACTCACTACAGATGGCCGGCTGACCGCTTTGCTCTTCATTGTGAACATTTATTCGCTTGCCCATCTTTGAACGTTCTACACCAATGTCTTACATTTCCTTCACTCATTACATTTTTGCTGTAAACTGCTGTGCATAATTCATGATGTATTTCTACAGCACTCCTATACTTAGCATGAAGAAAACAGATAACAGCACAAATTTTGCACCTGACAGGATTATCAATTTCAGGACACATCATAACTCACTCAGTAGAGACAAGAACAAACACTAGGTGACCAGTTATGTGATAATTTACAAGTCACTGAGTCTTGTGACACTACCTAGCATGCATGAGCTCTCCCCTGGTCCTACATTAGTTACCTAAAATAAAGGAGGTTGCCTTCTGAATTCTGAATAGCCTGTGCTATTTATTCCTCAGATACTATCTGTATTATGATTAGCTCTGCAACAGCAGATTTATAATCTCATGAAACATATATTAAAATCAATATGTTATGCAGAATTGCTACGTATGCAAAGTGGAAAGTGTGTACTGTATTGGAAATATGCAGTTTTCATGGCAGTGAATATTCATATTATCTTCTGGGTTATGACACCATGTAGTCTGAGAGGCAAGTAATGTTCTAGAAGAAGATGCAGCTTTCGTTTGGCTACGTACTACACTGGAAAGCATCATAACCCAGAAGAGCATGATATGAATACTCCATTGGAATTCACCTTTCTTCTCTTGTGCCTGCTAAGTTCAATCCAATTTTCGTTTCTCCCATTTAATTTCTCCAGCACTTTAATATTGATTTTTACTTTTGCAGATCGTCTGGTCCCGTTTCCTTTGGGTTCACCTCACTTGAGGCTGGGCTGAGATCAGTAACAAGTCCTGCAGAATATGTGGGGCCAGCATCTCCTCCTGACAGCAACCACTCGAATACCAGTCTGCGAAATGAGCTGCAGGTGAATTGTTGTTGATTGCATTTATAATTATTGTTTATTGTCATTAACATGTAATTTATTGTGTTAAATAAGAAGATATATTCAGTGCTTCAGTCATGTTACAGTTAATAGCCTTCAGTTATTGAATAAGTTTTATAATTAGACCACGTGACTGACTGGAAGAATACCAGGGTTTGATAGAATGTGATATTGAAAATTTAATCATACCAGAATGCCTATGTATGCCTGTGGTGCAATTTCAAAATGTGTTTTTGCTATGTATTTAATGTCTCTCACTGTTTGTACTTGTGACAGGAGGCTGGAGAAAACTGCTTAACGAGGAACTTCATAACTTGTACTTTTCTCCAGGTATAATTAGAATGATCAAGTCAAGGAGGATGAGGTGGGCAGGGCATGTAGCACGAATGGGGGAGACAAGGAATGTGTATAGGATATTGGTGGAAAGCCAGAAGGAAAGAGACCACTGGGAAGACCAAGGTGTAGGTGGGTGGACAATATTAAAATGGAACTTAGAGAGATAGGATGGGATGGTATGGATTGGATTGATCTGGCTCAGGATAGGGACCAGTAGAGGGCTCTTGTGAACATGGTAATGAACCTTCGGGTTCCATAAAATGCTGGGATTTTCTTGAGTAGCTGCAGAATTGGCGGCTCCTCCAGAAGGGCTCAGATCCCTGAGTAAGCAAGTAAGTAAGTTGTTTGTACTTACCTGTATAGTTTTTGTTATTTTCTGAATCCTGTTCTTGTGGAGTAGGCCGAAGTGTCTTTGAAATTTAACATTCTTAGAATTACAGTACAATGTGAACACAAAATTGAATTATCATAAAACAAAATTGAAAATTATGAGGGTTTAAATATAAATCAGATAACACTTGGAGGGAGGAAAATACTGGAAACATTTATTTTTGGAGCTGTTCAGCGAGAGAAGGTTTTACCTTCTATTGAAATACATTTTATTGATAGTGTAAGTTATGGTGAAGCCAGAAGCCAAGTTTGGCCCAAAACATTTGAAACCCCATACTAGATCACATGAACACCAAATGTAGGTGTATGTATTAGCCACAATATTATGTGTCAGTAGATGATTCTCTGACAGGGTGGATGGGACATCTGTGTTGGAAGATACACATCCTCATGGAATGTGCTAAATTTGGTATAACATTTTTTGAATTTATGGAACCAAATACAGTTATGTGTGGAATTTTATTTTCTACATTATGCAAGATACTGTTTTCAATAATTCTCTAAAAAGTGTACCATATTTTTCCACACTAGTTACAACTAATTGCTCTGCTTCTGAATCAGGGATACCATTTAAGCACGGGCAGCTGGTTTTCAAGCCCTAATCTATACAGTAAGCTTTACAGTGAATGGACTGACACTCTGGGAATTTCGCATCAAAACGGTATCCCTGTTGACATAAAGAAATCAGAATTAAAAATTGGTGCAAAGAAGTTACACATCACACCTTTTCATAATGATTTATTTTGACTGCATTACCATAGGACCTAAATCATTTGTTGTTTATTAGGCCATTGTTGGTTGCTAATTATACAAGTTATGGTAAGTGCACAATGCATAACTATTTGGGCCTCTAATTGCATGTACCATTATTTTCCTGAAGTTACTACCCACTTCAGTTTTATTTAGGACAGTGGTCTCCATACATTTCTGAGATTTAAGTTAGAAGTTGTATGTAAAAACAGAGTGGCAAATGCTTTGAGAAATCACATGAAAGTTTCATTACCTCTTCAAGCTATGCAAGACACAAGTTCCTTCTGCTTCACTTCGTTCTTCTAGACCTTTCAAGGAGATGTATATAACAGCTATGCCACTTTCATTTGACAGTACTCTGCTGGTTGACCAACATTACTTACTGTTGTAGACTGACTGTTACTGACTACTGACTGTTCTTCACTAGCAGAATAAATCTCTGAGATGTTTTTACTTGTAATTACTTTGAAGTGTTTTTTCGCTAACTTACTATAACTGACTTCTGTACCTGCTCTTTTCTTCTGATCCCAGTGTCCTACTGCTTCTCTCCTTTTCTTGGTGCAATAGTATCACAGGGTTCCTTCTTCAGGCTGGATGTAAGTAGGTATATTCCAGGGCATCTGGGTTCAGTGACTATATTGCCAGGCATAACTCTAGGAAATGTGGATTCATGTTTCTCAGGGTTGTGCATGTTGATCTCGCAACAGGGGAGGAGGTGTGATTTGGAAGCTGGATTCTTATCATGGCAGTGACGTAGCACGGGCAGGTAAAATACTGAACAAGGATGCAGTTGTATTGGGAGTAACTTACACCCAGTCAAATAACAGTATTTAAAGCACTTTGACTGATGATATTCAGAACTACAGGTATTTTGATAAAGACTAATAGTCCTTCATTTAACATTGAGTCACTTTTGAACTGTGCCACTTGATTCCCCTTTGTAGAATGAATTTTATGTCCTTCGAAACTGGATACAAACTGAATCCTGCACAAGACCTGCAGTTCAGATTTCAAAGGCAACAAATTTAGTAATATGTGATTAACAAAATTTGTGTAGTTGGGACCTGTCACCTCTGATGTCCCCATATCTAGGCTGCACTGGGCTTGAATAGTCCACAAGTGTTCACTGTTTTGTTAAGTATAATGTTATCCATGTAGTTAATCATGAAAGCACTGTACCATGAAGGCATGTTGGGGGAATGGAGATGCAGCTCCACCATTCTTGACCCTGGCACTAGGTGGAGGTGAGTTGTCACCTTTAAGCTCCAGCTGCTTTACTCTTGGGAAAAGAACCCCCAGCACCCATTGTATAGGAGACTGGGTGGGCCCCACAGCCAATCTGGATTCTGTGAAGAAGAGAAAAATCTCTTACCTTTGCCAGAAATGGAACCCAAGTTGTCCAGCAATAGCCTATTGCTCTTCTGAATTATGTTATGTATATTGTTAATTTCAGGAGATGCAGGTGGGCACAGAATCCTCTCAAAATGTAGATGAGCAACAGAACAAGAGCAGAGGAACATCTGAGAAAGGTCAGCTGACAGATGCCATTTCAACAGAACATCGTGGCACAATCACAAGTAGGAATAAACCACTAACTACTTCTGTATATGCTGTCTCTTCCATCACTGTTCACTAACGGTTGTATTTTCTGGTGCAGGAAGTGGATGGGTTGATGGATTGAGCCCTGATACTAAGGACTCTACACCAGAACTTGAGGATGTGGAGGAGCTTACAACAACTATTGTATCACCACTTGGAAGAAGCAAAACGAAAAAGTGAGTGTGTGGAAACCAGTGCAAGGAATTATTTAATTACAAATTCAATAAATATGAAGAATGACAAATCACTGGTTCAGTGTTCCCATTCCATTAAATCGTTAACATGTCAGTGTCATCTGGCTGATGTCTAGAAGCTAGTTGTTAACTGATGGTATGACAGCATAAAATGTTTTGCTTTGTATCTTTAACCAAGAAGCCTCTCCTGTGTTCACAGTTTTAAGTGGTGTACCTTATTTTGTAAGAAGGCCTGAAACAATATAAAAGAACAAAGAGTTCTCTTTTCTGTGATATAATGCTGTGAAGTCCATTGAAAGTCAGCTGATGTTTTGAAGGGACATGGTAAAACTATAATTTTGCCCATGGTTCTGTATGGGTGTGAAACTTGGTCTCTGACTTTAAGGGAGGAACATAGACTGAGGATGTTTCAGAACAGGATGCTGGGGAGAATATTTGGACCAAAGAGAGATGAGGTGATGGGAGGATGGAGAAAACTGCATAATGAGGACTTATCAANTGACATGTAGCATGAATGGGGGCGAGAAGGAATGCGTATAGGATATTGGTGGGAAATCTGGAAGGAAGGAGACCACTGGGAAGACCAGGACATAGGTAGGTGGACAATATTAAAATGGATCTTAAAGCAATAGGATGGTATGGTATGAATTGGATTGATCTGGCTCAGGTTAGGGACCAGTGGAGGGCTCTTGTGAACATGGTAATGAACGTTTGGGTTCCATAAAATGATTGGAAGTTGTTGAGTAGTTGCACAATTGGCAGCTTCTCAAGAAGGGCTCAGCTCCATAAGTGAGTGAGTGGTGTCTTCATCTTCAGGGTCTGAGAATAAGCCGATCTAGAAACTGACATGAAAAAGGTAGCAAGCAGAGCAGAGGTGACATGTTCCTCCTAGATGCTGGTTAGTGGACTACATGGCATTATATCCCAGAAGACAGAATCTTCATTACCACTACTGTGAGAACATAAAAGTCTATATACCAACTAACTAAACTAACTTCATGGAGCTGATCCCTTCTTGAGAAGCTGCCAATTGTGTAGCTACTAAAGAACTGCCCAGCAATTTATGGAACCTGAAGGTTGATCACAGTGTTCACAAGAGCCCTTCCACTGGTCCCTATCCTGAGCCAGATCGAACCAGTCCATATGACTCCATTGTACCTCTCTGACATCCATTTTAATGTTATTCACCCTCCTACATTTTGGACTTCCTAGTGGTTGCTTATATCTTCCCCACCAATATCCTATACACAATATGATTCACCCACATTCGTGCTACATGCCCTGTCCATCTCATCCTCCTTGACATGATCATTCAAATTGTACTTGGCGAAGGGTAAAAGTTATGAAGCTCCTCATTATGCAGTTTTCTCCAACCATCTGTCACTTCATCTCTCTTCAGTCCAAATATTCTCAGCACTCCATTCTCAAACACCCTCAGTCTGTGTTCATCTCTTAATATGAGAGAAAGAGTTTAACACCCATACAGAATCACAAGCAAAATTAGACTTTTCTATATTTTAATTTTTATGTTTTCAGATAGCATACTAGAAGACTAAAGGTTCTGGACTGAATGGTAGCAAACATTACCTGAATTCAGTCTCTTAATTTCTTCCTAAATCAAGTTTTGATTTATTGTAGTCATTCCCAAATATCTGAATTGTGCCACATTTTCAAAACATCTGATAGCTATCTTTATATCGTGATTTTTTCCAGCATTCTGGTGACGAGACAGCAACATATACTTAGTTTTCTCTATGTTTAGTTCTAGACCAACCTCCTTACTAGTGTCAATTAAAGTTTGCATTTTTTTCTTTGTGGTATCTATATTATCACCCAATAAACCAACAACTGATGTGTTCCATTTAATTTCATTCCCACCTGGTTTTCCTGGACCTTCCTAATATCATATTCTAAAGCAAAGTTGGAAAGCATTGGCAATAAAGCATCTCCTTGTTTTAGACCATTTTGGATAGGAAAATGATCAAATGTTTACCTATATGGACTTTATAGGCTATATGTTTTGTTTAAACGCATTTTAATCGGCCTAACTAGTTTCATGGGTACCCCAAACTATCAGAATAGTGTACAGTTCTTCCCTCCTAACTTAATCATATGGTTTCTTGAAGTCTGTGAATAGCTGATGTACTGTGTCACTGTACTCCCATTTTTTCTCCATTATCTGATGAATGCAAAAATCTGATCAGTAGTTGATCTATTATGTCGAAACCCATACTGATGATCCCCAATAATTTCATCTATATATGGACTTAACCTTGAGAGAAGAATATTGTATAACATTTTTGTGTGAAGTTGATAGCAGTGATATCCCACGATAATACTACAGTCAGTTTTATTGCCCTTGTTGTGGATTGGTACAGTAATAGACTCCTTCCATTGATTAGGCAATTCTTCCATATTCCAAATAGAATTAATGAGTGTATGGATCTCAGACCATAATGTTTCACCTCCTCTTTGACTCAGTTTTTCTGGAATCTGATCACTATCTGGTAATATATACCTTTTCTACTTTGCAATAGGAATTTCAACCTTAAAAGGACTAGGATCAGGTACTGACAGCTCAACTGTATGTATTTCTGTCTGCCTAACATCACCGATCTTATGTACCTTCAGTAACTGATAGAAGTAGTTCTTCCACCTTTTCAGAATGTTGTGGGAATCTGCAAGCAGATCACCATTCTTATCCTTCACTAAGTTACTTTTAGATGGGTAACTCTTCTTAAATTCATTTATTCTCCTATACAAGTCTCTGATTTTGTTTTTACTGTTCATTACAAGCTCATTAATTTTGTTCAGATATTCCCTCTTCTTATTCCTGAAATGTCTGCTGGCATCACATTTTTATTATTCAGATTACACCCATTTTTTCACTTGTATCCTGTAACCACTGCAGTTTGGCTTGTTTGATAATTTTGATCATCCTTTGTCAAACCATGGCTTATGCTTCTTCATTTCATAATAACGTAGACTCTCTTTGGCTGAAATTTTGTTATTCTCTCTAATAGTTTCCCAGGCTCTTTTAAAATCCACCTGAGCATCTAAGTTTTCCAAAATTGCTAACCCATTTGAGATTTCAACATGATACTGCTCTTTACCCTCTACTATGTTTAATTTCTTTGAGATTTAACCTCTAGTGTGAAATCTGTGCGTTGTTTGTTTACTCAACTGCTAGTCTCCCTAACTTTTTCCACCACCAGATAGTGGTCAGTATCACAGTTTGCTGCCATGAATGATCAGATGTCATGTATATTTTGAAATTTGTCTTCTGTCTCAAAATGTGGTCAGTTTGATCGTGACTCTTTCTATCATGAAATGTCGAAGTAAATTTATGAATGTTATGATGTGGGGACCTCGTACTTTTGACAGTCAGATTTTTGAATGTAGCAAAATTTATTACTCTTACTCCATTATTTTTGTTAATTTTATGCAGACTCTCATTCCCAGTTGTTGGTTTGGAACTATCTTCCGTACCTGCTTTGGCATTAAAATCTCCTAACTAAATTTTCATATGGTATTTAGGAAATTTATTGAATACATGTTTTTGTTTTTCTTAGAACCTATCCTACATATCATCAATTTTATCCTCTGTTGGGACATGAACAATCAGAACAATGGTATCACACCAGTGACCTTTTAGTATTATGTACAACATTCTATCACTAACATACTCTACCCCCCTAACTGCTTATATGATTCTCTTATGTACAAAAAAGCCTGTACCTATTATATATTTGCCTGCTGGTTTGGTGCTATTTCTGTCCCATCTGATCTCCTTTACTCCCACTAAATCTAACTTATATTTTGATATTCATTTCACAACTTTTGTAAGCAAGCCTGCCCTGTAAAACAGCAGTCTTGCAAAATTATTTGCATAAGATTCTTAATTCATTTTAATTGAATTTGCATCCTTTATGTTAACAATCAAGAAAGCGAAGTTTTACGGGAGTTAGTGAAAGCATGTTATTAACATGTCTCACATTGAAAGAGATAATATGCTAAAGTATGGCCACAGTGATAGCTGTGAGTCCATTTGCAACTTTATCAGCCTGTAACAAAGTTATATATTTTTAGTAAACACTCATTCAGTGATCTTCCACCTTTTACAGATGTTACACATAACTTCTTGTGTTCTCAAGTGTTGGGTAAAAATTACAAAGCATGCTGACATTATTCCTTCTGCATTTGGAGAATTATGATCTAATTGTTAATTAAATTTGATGTAACTGTTAGTTTATTGCTGAAATAAATATTTTTCAAGTGTTCGTGTAAGTGAATGAGGAAGATATTTAACATAAATATGGAAATTCATATCATTTTCAGTACCTTTGCATGATTGTATGTCCCTCACATGACAAATAGGGACCATAAACTGCAGAAGCATCAAAAGCTTCATAGTAAAATACTTCGTGCTAATGATAGTGTAGAGGGTGAAAATGCTTATCAGTTCAGCAATTTCTCTTTATTGCAGAGAACAGAGGAGTGGCAACACACTGTATCAAGAATTAAGTTTCCAGGATGCTGAAGCTCTTGGAGAAATGGATGAAGGAGCTGATATCACAGGTATTTGCTTTGTAACAGTGTTCACTATGATACATTTAAACTCTGATATTAGGGTAAATAATAATGACAGTGTTGTCATTGTAATTAAATACAGTCGCCAAGAAATGAGACTCTAGTTTCCACCACACTGCCACCAAGGCATCAGAAGGTACCTTGATGGAACCCTAGCAGGTTAATGAATAGGACAAAAGGTAGTGATGAGTACTCCTTATGTTTATCTGATTTAACCCCCCTTGACTCTCACTTGTGGTGGTCCCTGAAGGTTGTGGTATATTGTACAAAACCATTGACACCAGAGATGTTACGGAAATAAATTGAAGCATTGTGTGTGGCTATCCCAGTGGACACATTGGCCACAGTTGCTCATGCCAACCACTGAAGTTTTTACAAGCTAGTGGTGGCCCCTTTGAACCTTCTTTTAGTTCATCACGTGTTGTAGCAATCCCTTTCTGTATGTATCAAATTTGGAATACCAATACATTTTTTAAGCAGATATTTTGTATGTTGAGGTGTGTATACATTTTTGTTTATAGTACTGGCAGCCATGAACAAATCAGGAAAATGATGGAGGCATTGTGTTGTGTGGGTTTTCAAGAAAACTCTTTTTGCACTGCAGATAATGTACTGACTGACCTTACCTCATTTTAAAGTGTATATAATCATGGTTTTATATATAACAGAGCAGAGCAGATTTGTGCTTTGCTGGTTCCTTTATAATAATGATGTTCACATGTGTTTTTTGTTTGATGACTCTTTTTAAGGAACCGTGTTCTATCTGCTATAAATACAGGCTCAAGACATGTATAGTATATCAGAATTTTGTGATTTAACATTCTAATAATGGTGTGAATACTAAATTGTACACAAAATGTGTTTTAGTTTGAATAGTAAAATTCATTCAGTATCAGGTATATTCCAGTAATGTGGTTATTGTTTCATGGCTGCAGGAAGTTGGGTTCACCCAGGAGAATATGCCTCATCGGGTTTGTAATGAAACATTATTAGCATGATCAGCTGCATGGAGATGTTTGCATGCTATGTATAACATATGCTCGTATATAACATCCTTTTATGCTTTGTTACCAGCACTGTTACAGTTTATTTCCTGATAGCAGAAGTAGACATGACCTGAAGAGTATGAATTTTTGTTGTGGCATTTGGCAGTAATGAGCAGCCTGTGCTGCTTATCTAAATATCAAAACTAAACAAAACAGTGTTTAATATTTAACCCTTTGTGGTCCCATATAAATGTCATTACAGCTCTCTGCTTGTCCGTTATATACCACAGAGCTATGTAATTTCAACTATTATTATGAACTGATTTGCTTTTTTTTATAACTTGCATGTAACAGAAGAAACTTTGCTGAGTGTGATGAAAATAAGGTATGAAAGGATCACACTTCTTCCTGTTTGAATAAAGTGTAAACCATGAAGTCACTATAAGGTGCGATATGAGGACAACTGAATATACATGTGTCAGTGGTTGATTGATGCATATATTAGAAATAATATAAAATACAATTTTATACTACAAAGATGAGACATTTATTATGTAACTTTATACCTACAAGTATTTCTTAATTCAATGTGACATATTGCAAGATGCTTGTTGGGATGGAGTCCTGGCTTTCTTGGACATGTGTCACAATAAAACGTTTCTCTCCTGCCTGCTAGGTCCAAGTTAGTGTAAAACTTGTCTGTATACAAATTATATCCTTTTATATGTATTATGTTTCGAGCTTTGCTCATGAGTTCTAGAACAGTTCTGCTGGCAACTGTTGACTCTGGGTGCATCAGACTTTTTAAACTTTTATCCATAATATGGGATGTGGCCACAGTTATACCCATTTGTGGAATCAGCAATTACATATACGAGGGTCGTAACTTTAATAGTGGCAACTATTTATTTACAAGTGATACAAAACAGAACTTAGACAGCAGTGATGAACTGAAGTGTGGTGTCCTGAACTGGCTAGGCAGTTAGGCTACATTTTTGTATCCCGGTAGCATCAGTGCATTGCTACAGTGGTGGAAAAAAATGCCCCAGCGTAGAAGGAGAATATACAGAAAAGGCGTGATAGTTTGGTATTCTGGTATATATATTTTTTTTATTAAAGTCCGCATCAACCTCAAACCACCCTCATGTTAGAGTGATGAAATTAAATTGAATGATATGGGACATAGCATGTAAGATGCATGAGAGAGATGGGAAATACCTGGAAAGCTTTAGTTAGAGAATCTGAAGGAAGATACACTTTGGAGACCTAGGTACAATATGAAGGAGAATATTAAAATTGGTCGTAATGAAATGGACTGGATTCATCTGGTTGAAGATATTTACCAGTAGCTGAATGTTCTGAACAAGATAAACTGTCAGGTTTCATAAACAGCATGGAATATCTCAAATAGATGAATGACTGATAACTTTGTAAGTTTTGAGGTTTTCACGGCGATGACTATGAAGGAAGTTGTCTTCTGGGTTTAGGCGCCGTGTATTCTTTGTTTCAGCCGACATTTCGGAGGAATGTATCGCCTCCATCCTCAGAGCAGGTGAATGGCTGCAGCTCTCTGCATTCCAAGCCATTCACCTGCTCTGAAGATGGAGGCGATATGTTCCTCCGAAACGTCTGCTGAAACGAAGAATACATGGCGCCTAAACCCAGAAGACGACTTTCTTCATTGACTGATAACTTGTTTTTCATGGAGGGCTTTCTTCATGGGTTTGGTCTGTTTCTGATGAATTTTGGTGTGTTGCTGGATTGGGCAAAATCACAATTTGTGGGACTACTGAACATGGATGCATAGCTCTTTGTTAATAAATACTGTCTTCTGGGATGTGATAGCATCTGATCTGGTAGAAGTTTACAACTGTTAAAAAAATCATTCTCCCTTGTCTTAAGGGCTGAAGAATAACCCTGGAAGCAGCAAGGAGAGTAAAAGTTACTCTAGTACCATGCTGTTTTCTTACCCTGAAAATGGAGGCAGTATAATACTTGAAACCATTTGTAAATTATACCAAACTGCTCAGCATTATATCCCAGGAGATTGTACTCTTTATAACCACTGCCCTGAGAACCTCAGATCTGACATTGCTTTTTGCTGTTTACTGTATTTAGACATGAGGCCACTGTCTGGGATTGTATGTAGAATGAAAATTTCCATCACTTTTTTAGACTTTGTTGTGTTTAAAGTATCTTCAGGTTTGTAACTGTGTAACCAGTAGCATGTAATTTTTCTGCACATTTTCACAATATAATGTTTGGTTTTTATGGGAATATTGCACTGTATGCATATTATGAGAGCTGTCATGTCTGCACATGTATGTCAGATAGAGCACAGACACCTGCATCCAGTCACCTTTTCTTCTCATTTTCATTGTATGACCTCTGTAGTTTAAGTGGCACAATCAAATTACTTAAGAAAAAAAAATTAGGAAGAACACATTTATATTTTTACTTTCATTGTTCAATTTCACATAGTGCCACCAGTATAACAGTTAGGTAACCCAAGAACCAACCTCCATGTTTCTGTAGCTATGTGTTGGTTCCTTAAAATAAATGTTTGCCTTCTTCCAGAGTGATATGTTGTTTCACATGCATATTTTGAATGTTTTCTGTGTTGCTTTTAACATTATGTCAAACCTAACATGTCCATTTGTTTGCTTTTTTTTCATCTTCACTGGACGAATGAACCGGTTTAACCATCTGCAGTAAATGACAACTTCTTTGGTAAGAACAAATTAGTGTAACCATTAATTATGAATTAGAATGTATTTGTATTTAAAATTAGGACATTGAACACACACATAACAGGAAATATGTGAGTTATTATTGTAATAAGTGTTTACACATGCATATGTGTGTCTCCATAAAACTTCATATAATTGTTGTATTCCTCATCCAGCACTGTCAGGTGTATATCATGAAGCCCAAAGCACTGTTTCTACAAAAAGTTGCCACTATGAAAATGATATGTATGTATATTACTACATATAAAGTTTATCGTTGTTTGGAACTGGTGCTTCCTCACCACAAATAGCCACTTAGATCTTGATGTTAGTTGTTTCTTGTCCGCCACTGTTTCACCATATGCCACTGCATTGTACTTTGCTTCTCTCTTGCATTGATCTAACTTGCGTCCACACTCATCTGTGAATGTCTGATTTGAGGCTGGCATCTGCTATGTTAGGAAGCTTTCCACTTGCCTGGGCTGGGCATTACAACAAGATTTGGACTTTTTGCTGGAATCATCCAGAGCTGACTGAGTGGATCCTTAACTTGTCATTGATGGTCTACTCATGGGTTTCTGCCATTATATTGGTGCATCAGCTTACATTTAAGGATTTATGGACCTCAGCTTGCTGCACGGGTGTCACGTTGTTGGCATCACTTCTCAGCACCACCTCTCACATGTAGCCAGGTTTTCAGATGCCCGACAATCCTAAGTGGAACTCTCTGAGTACTCCATCTTGCTCTGGGGAAGTGCCATCTCAGCAGTTTTGGACAGCCCATCAGTTGGCTCCATTTTCACTCCATCATGTGATCTCTCACCTCCAGGGAATTCCACTGAACTCACCAGCTCTTGTAGATGGGACTGCGGTCAAAGATGTCCTTCTATTCAGGACACTGTCTGCCTCCACTTCCTACAGAATCAGTCCCAGGTTGTTGTCACCTGGCACACCACTCAGGGTGATATGGCCCTGGTCCCAGCCATTTATATCAGCAGGAGTGATATTGCTTACCATGAGACTGCCTGACTGCCATTCGCTTTCTGATAGCACAGACCTTGACATGGGGTCTTCTAGAGAGTGCGTCTACTTTGGTGTTATTCCCCCCCCCGCAGTGTTCAGCCATCCCAATGGGTATTTCTCATTGATTTTGAATGACTTGTGGCCTTGTAAACTTGATGGGCAGCCTTTGAACTTAGTCCCACTAGGCTGTTTGCCACTTCAGAGTGGCCCTCCACCTGCACAGTCATGACTTCCCCACACTGAGCCACTATTACCTTGTTGCTGCCTATCATATGGGAAAATGCTCATGGTCATGCCCCAATACATCATAATGGCACATCTTTCTGTAGTCATAGCACATGGTGCTTCAAATCCATCACCTCATCTTAAGCTCACAGGACATCCAGCCCCAGAATTAATTCATTTTTGATCTATATGGTGGTCACCCATATTCTCAGTGTGCTTCATCCCAGAGTCAGCTCTACCAGCACCAGGAGGGTCTCCCCAGATACTGTCTCCAGAATGTATGGCTGACTTGGTTTTCTCTTGAGCAGTCTTGTGGTGATATCAGGCCTGGCATTGCTTAAAGATGCACCAGTGTCAATGGTCATGAAGCAGGTAAAAGGTGAAGCTATCCCTGTAACAGGCCATGGAGGCCCATAGGGTTGTGAGACAATGAGCCTCCTACATTTTCTAGACCGTCAGCTCACAGATGGCAATGAGGCTGTCAGCCTTATGTGCCATCCACCCTTTACACCCAGGAAGATTCCTGGTACTCATTTCTGTTAGAGGCTGAATTTGACACCGGGGCCATGGTGCAGCTGGAAGGATTGGGTCAACTGAAAAAATCTAGTGACATTGGGTATTGAATCTGTGACATGGCTTGTATGTGTCCCTTATCCACATGTCAACGATTAGGCTGTTGTCACTTCTTTGGGCCAAAATGCTGAATGTGGAGTGGGATGAGAGTGATTATGACAGTTCCTTCTTCAGTATTAGTGTGTTTGGCTGTAGCACAAGGAAGCTCACGTTGAGCCTTGAACAACATGCCATGGAAGCGCAAAGCTGAAACATATGTCATTTAGGCATGTGCTGTAAAGAATGTACATGTAGATTGGGTTTATGTGAATGGAAACATCTGTATTATATCAGACAGTCGTGTGATCAAAGCACTTGACAGTTATCAGATTAATTCTAAATAGGGGTTGAAGGGAAATATGGACTTATTTTTGGGAAGAAAGACAAAGGATTAAGACTACATAGTAGCCAGTTCAGGCAAGTGGCGAGACTGTTTACAGGTCACTGTCACATGTAAGGACATCGATTTGAACTGGGCTTGGAAATAGTTCCACATCTGAAAGGTGACACATTGAAGATAGAACAAGCTCACACACCTTACATGACAATGAGATTTTAGCTAATTAAGGTTTTGTCGCTTGGGATTCATTTTATGAAGCCACATAACTGTCATAGTGCTCCGTTAAATAAAGTGCCATGTTTCATTTGAAGTGCAGAACTCCTAGAAAATTAAAGTCATAAAGGAGGTGTGCAGTAGATTACAGGTTGTTGCAATGCAAGGGCCGGTATGATCCACTCCTTTTAAACTAATCTAGACATTATGCAAATGTCTGGAGTAACCAAATTGGCACTCCCAGCACTACATTTACCCATTCTTCTTTGTACATTGTATTGTAATGAAAAGTAAATATTCTAGAAAGATTTAAAATACTAGGTGGTTTAAGTAATATTCAGACATAACTATGAAATACACACTGTGATGTTGATATGTGTGTGTATAGTATGGATAGTTTCAAAGAAAGAAATAAAGATGGGAGAGATTGTTGGATGGCATCCTGTAAATAAATATCTTATGTTTTCAGGCATGGGTAAGGAGGTGGAGAATCTCATCATGGAGAACAATGAGCTGCTTGCCACCAAGTGAGTAACCCTTTGGGTATCATTATGACACTTTGGCCAATGCATAATTGTGTCAGCATGGTCATTGGTATGTAGTGTTCTCAACAAGCTTACTGGAGGTTCAAATTGACATTGGTTAGTGATCTTCCTGTCTCTACACTTGAATGCAAAAAATTACTTGAAATAGGCTATGATTGCCTCTTTTAAAAACCTTACTATTCACAATTCATGTTCAACTTCTCAGTCAATATGGCAGTATTGTTACATGTAGGGTGGTACACACGATGAAAATGATGGATTCTAGTTTGGATGATTGGATTTATTAGCACCTTGGTTACAAATTCTCTTATTCACACTTAAATAGAGGCAATACAGTGCTATGTTAGCTAGCTAATTACACATTTTCCAGTTCACCATTGGACACACACTAGGATTCCTAGTCTTCACTAGTCATCTCCTGGTAATGCATCTCATCACAGAAACTATAACAGTCTCACTGGATTACACACTTCAAGAATTACATATAAACAAAGTCTTCAAATCACGTGATAAATCCTCACAGGCCGATCTCCTGTACTCTTCTGTACTCCTGGTTCCAATTAGCTCTGTTCATGTGCTTCTGCCACTACTATCTCTGCCAGCTTAGGAATTCTGCTCACTTATATAGCCAAAGGATGGACATCGACCAACAGTAAACATATCATGTGATCCCTACCTACTGTTGCTGTGTGACATCACTGCACATGCGCAAACTGATGGACACACAGGAAACACGTCACGTGAAGGCCACTTACTGTTGCTGTGCGATGTTACTGCTCCTGTGCCAGCTGCCGGACATACGAGAAACACAGCTTGCTCTATTGTTGCATGCGCGTGTCATGTTTCCAGAACTGTTGCCTGCCAGTGTGTTGATCAAATACATTACAACATATATTCTGCCCTGTTGAAATAGTGTGATTAATCCCCTTAATACCATGGGACATTTAATTTCTTTGCATCCCTGGGAATGGAGGCTATTTAAACACTAAAACTTGAAAATTCAACATTTCACTTAAACTGTAATAAATCTGAGATTCGCACCCCCCCACCCCCTCAGATTTCCACATTATCAGAAATGTATACAGGATCAGAATATTGATACAGACTGTTTTAAAATTACTTTTGGCAAATAGATCTTACAAATAAAGAACATTATTACCTTAGAAATTGAACTTGTGTGGTAGTCTTGAAAATATTCCATATTACTGAGTTTTTGGTCTTTATTCATCATCTGGAATTCTTAGTACAAATATTATGCTTTTGGACATTATCCATCATCTTGTCTTTATCTAAAAACTGTCCTGTTTATTATTTTTGAAAACGCAGCGTTTCAGAGACTGGATTGTGTCTCCGTCTTCAGGTAAAACCTACTTAGTTGGACCCAATTGATAGAGCTAATCCATATCTCCAGACACCTGTGCCAGCTTCAAGATGGTGTACATAAATCAAACACAGCACAAACCATCTGCGAGAGCTAAGAAAACCAGAAAAGTATCTCAATTGAAATCATCACTGGAGAGAAGCAATACTTCTTATGGTACCAACACAAGAAAAACAATTTTTTTCCACTCAAACTACACTTGACAGCATTGTAGTCTCTTGACTTCTGCTGTGATAATGGGGTTCCAGATGGGAGTGATGTCCAAACTGGGTTGACTGATCGGATGGTCCAGCAGAGACGTGGGCTGATTCCTTGTATTTCCTGTATGTGGTGTTGATGTTTTTAGACAAAGACTAGATGATGGTTAATGTGCCAAAACATAATATTTGTTCTACTGTATCATTGTCACAAACTTTTAGATTTTATCTATAATTCTAAAGACCACAATGTTTTAGAATGTGGATCCATTTCTACCCTGATGTGAAAGGCACCTACTTTCTTTTGTCTGTTAGAGCTAATCTCAGTCAATATCTCTAACCTTTTCAAAAATGCCCTTCATGTAGGGGATAGGCAGAGAGCCAAGAGGCTTCTCTTTTTCTGGGTGACTGGTACTCTTGGAGTTAAGAACTGAGTCAATGAACAGCAGGGGAAAACCATTTATTTATATGCCTTTTTACTCTCTCTGTCAAAAATTTTCCTGTTATTTCCTGTTGACAAAATATAGTATCATGTGAAGATCTAGATGTAGATACTGACATAGGTTTACCAGTTAGCTCTTTATAAAGGACCCCCACCCTTTCAGCTGAAAGAAGAGCAGATCCAGTTTCTGATACATCACATAAGATGCTGTCATTCTGCTAATGTACAGCTGTCATTAATTTTTTATGAATTCTTTATTGCTATTGTTACATTGCTTAAATGATTGAAAATTGGATCCTATGACGAGGATTTTTAGTTTACAAAACATAAAAAGATGTATGAGGTCAAAGTAGATGAGTTTTGTGCATGTTCCAGTATTGATACAGGTATGCCTCAATGTATGAAGGGAATTTGTTACATGAAAACTGTTCATAAGGTGAAAAGTGGTAAATGGAAAATGATGTGCCCATTGCTTTACATATTAAAGTTGCCAGCTCGTTCATTAGTCCCAAAAAAATTGCTCACTATTTTTTAATGTATGTTTTAATAGTAAATACTCATTATAGTAAGGGAGTATTGCTTGTTTATGATATTTACTGTTGCATGTATAACTTTATTTTATTCACATTTATTTTCCTTAGTTGATGTAATGCAGTGATTCAGCTTTTAGCCAAACTTATTGCTTTCCTTACTATCTCGGGCTTATCAACACCTCTCACAACAACATTCACTTGTTACGGAGCCATGGTGGGCATAAATTTATATTGTAACAGATTTGATCAATGTGTTGCCAGGCAACAGCTATGTAAACACAGTCCAACATGCAATGATAGCTGAGGCTGTTTTTTCTATGTCATCTGCACTGAGCAGTGGTGGAACAGTGGGTTATGCAATCCGTTACTAAGCAATGGCTTGGTAAACACATTTCCATGTATCGGACTGTGCTGTGAAAACAGTGATGTCATCAACAGTAGAGACAGCGTTTTCTGTGGGGTCTGTGCGGAGCGCTTATAAGAAAAGAGAGTGACAGCATTCATTCAGGTCAGTTACGAGTCAGTCGTAAGATGGAGGAGTGAGTCCAGAAGAAAATTTAGTTCTGAGATTCCAGAATGATTGAAGACGAAATAGCAAGAAGGCTTCATAGTGATTTGAAGTGTTCATTTCTATGTTGAGATCTGTTGTTAGGAGACAACTAGTGGAAACAGAATCCTAGTGTGTGAACTTGAAATTGTGTAAGTCAGTGATAGCACTGTATTTAAGTGTGATTACGAGAACTTGTAACCAAGGTGCTAATANCGAGATATATATGGACAAATATAATATAATATTGATTACGAGAACTTGTAACCAAGGTGCTAATAAATCCTATTGTCTGAACTAGAACCCGTTATTTTGTCATGTGTACCACCCTACACATGACATTTTGGTGTCAGAAGTTGGTGGTTTGGATCATATTGGATTCCCCAGCAGTGGTTACAACCATAAATATGTGACAACTGGTGTCAGAAGTAACTGGCTCAGACTGAAGTGATTATTGTACAAAAGATTATTTTACAGTCCCACTCAGAAAAATATGAAGACATGGAATTCCTGAAAGTCATGCTGGCTGAAATGAATGCCAGATTGGACACCACTCAGGAAATGATGGAGAGGCAGATAGGTTCATTAGTCTCCAAAAACAAACAGAGATGAAATGAAACAAGAAATAAGAGCCCTTCCAAGAACACGTTAAAGAAATAATGGAAACACAGTTTCCTTCTGTAGTCTCCAAACTGGATGGCTGGCAAAAAGAGATGCAGGCCAACTGAGAAGTAAACAAGGCCACGGATTTGAACAAAAATCCTGATGAAATGGAGTATGAGGCTGAACATAGGGAGGTCCCCAAGGAATGTGCTGCAGTGAAACCTGTCAGAGGACTAAAGAAGCTGCATAGGGCTGGAAGCTAGCTGCAGGGTGATGTGGAGAGCCAAAGAAACTGACCCGAGGAGATTGTGGATCTGGGAGGAAGTTGGCTGCTGCCTGTTGGAAGGTGTCCTGCCATGCAAGAGTGCCATGGCACGAGAGGAACACTCAGGAATAAGTAGACCAGAGCCAAGGCTGAGCAAGGGATCCAGAAAGTAGGGACATTCAGGGAGAGAGTGCAGATGTGCCATGAAGGCAGAAAGGGAGTGAAGGACCTGGGTGGCAGATGGCTGCTATGTCTGAGGAAAGAGAGGACAGCCACAAATGGCATTGGAGGGTGGAGCTGAGGACAGCAATCACACCTGAGAAGTGGAGGAATGCTCAAGAAGACCCTATGTGAGATTTGCAGAGGGAAGATCACAAATAAATAGTCGGAACTTCCAGCAGGTTACAAAGAATGGTGGACTGGACATTTTGGAGGGGTCGGCCCCCTCTTAAGCAAACAAGAGGCTGCACATGAAGTAAGGGCTGGATATGTGGGAGCACTGTCTACTCCAGGTGTTATGGCACACTGTTGGAAAGAGGAGGGGAAAAAATAAAACATTTGGATGACGGTGATACATCGGGATTTACTGGCACATTAGCAGTGATCTGCTCGGGGCAAGTGGCCTTAAGGAGGAAGCAGTGGGAGTGCTTGGAGAATGAACACAGTGAAAAAAAGGAAAGAACAACTTGCAAGAAGACATGGAAAGCACAGACCTTGGAAAGGAAGAACAGGCAGTGCACTGAGAGGCTGCTTGGGATGAGCAGTCTTAAGGAGGGAGCAGTGTAAGAGATTCGATAAATGTGTTGTCAGGCAGCAGCTCTGTAAACACAGTCCAACATGCAACAGTAGATGAGGCTGTGGTTTCTGTCTTTGCCAAGCAGCGGTGGAGCAGGGGGGTTATGCAAGTGGTTTCTAAGCAATGGCTTGATAACACACATTTCTGTGTATCTGATCATGCTGTGAAAGCAGTGACATCATCAACAATAGAGAGAGTGTTTTCCATGGGGTCTGTGCAGAGTGCTTAATAAGAGAAGGGAGTGACAGCATTCGTTCACGGCAGCTACGAGTCAGTAGTAAGCTGGAGGAGTGAGTCCAGGAGAATTTTTAGTTCCAAGGTTCCAGAGTGATTGTAAACGAAATAGCAAAAGAACCTCATAGTGATTTGAAGTGCTAATTTCTCTCTTGAGATCCATTGCTAGGAGACAGCTAGTGGAAACTGAGAATCCTAGTGTGTGTGCACCAGTGAGCTGGAAATTGTGTAAATCAGTGATAGTGCTGTATTTAAGTGTGCGTAAGAGAACTTGTAACCAAGGTGCTAATAAATCCAATCATCTATATTAGAACCCGTTATTTTCGTCATGCATACCACTCTATACAAGACAATATATAAAATGTGTCAAGAACACAACTGTATGCTTACAAGGAGGTGTGTGAACATACTGGGAAGGTGGGAGGAACATGATGGGTGAGGAAGTCTATGAATGTTAATTATTTATTACAGCAAAAATTAATTTTGTTAAGGGCATGTAGCATGAATGGGGGAGAAGAGGAATGCATATAGGATATTGGTGGGAAAGCCAGAAGGAAATATACCACTGGTAAGACCAAGACATAGGTGGGTGAACAATATTAAAATGGATCTTAGGGAGATGGGATGGGATGGTATGGATTGGATTGATCTGACTCAGGATAGGGACCAGTGGAGGGCTCTTGTGAACAGGGTAATGAACCTTTGGGTTCCATAAAATTCTGGGAAATTCTTGAGTAGCTGCAGATTTGGCTTCGCCTCAAGAAGGGCTCAGCTCCATAAGTAAGTAAGTGGAAAACAGGTACAAATTGACATGCTTTATTGTAGTGAATATGAATGAATTGAGTGTTCTTTAACAAGAGATACCTGTATTTGTTTTCTAGCCAAAAATTACTTGCTGAAAATTCTGTGTGAAAGCAATTGTTGTGGAAAATGCACTAATTTGGCTAGAGGTTTAGTCATAACACTTGGAAGTAGAATGGAATGCTTAAGTTACTATTTTTTAGGAACAGCTTCATATTGGGTAACTCCTGTGATATGATAAAGGGCAGATCAGTATAGTTTTTACATTTGTCTCGTCATTGGTTTTAATGATTGTGGATTTTTCATTGGACACTTTGGCATTTATTTCTGAGTTGTACTGAAAGATCAGTGTTCCTTCACTGGGCACTGTTTGTTCAGCAGCCTTGCTATAAGTTAGCAAATTCATTTCTTTTGATGGGCAAAGAAAACAATGTACCAATAAAAACATTTACTACTATCACAAAACATACCCATTTCTCATGATTGTTTAATGTGAAACTGCTGAATCATGTATTCATGTGAACCTGTACATACCAGCACACCAGTCTTTTGTGTGCTTGTTTGTCAGTCATGTTGGCTGTAAAGTTCTTTTGTTTTGATCTTCAGTTTGAATGGAATCTTCTTGTAACTTCATGAAATTATTTCTTTGTATGTGAGTTGCTGTATTATGCTTTGTGTACATTACATTACATATTGGTGCCATTAATTATTTGCATTTATTACTTTTTTCAGAAATGCTCTGAATATTGTGAAAGATGATCTGATTGTCAAGGTGGATGAGCTCACAAGGTAAATCAATTGATGGTTGCTCCTGTTGGTACAGACATGGAAAGCTAAGCCTTTTCTTGCCTCAGTACACATGAAAACACAAGGTAGAACCTGCAGCAGAGAAATTATTAGCATCTCAACCTTCAAGTTAGGACATTTGACCAGTTTTTGGGTGGGATGGATCAAGAATTAGGTTCCCTTAGATTAATTCTTAGCAATTTTGAACTAGAATGAGACAAAATATTCCATCAACTCTTTTCTTCCTACAGGACTGATAAAATGATGTAGGTATTCAGTATAATTATATTTCTAATGTTCTAATGAGACATTTTTATTGCTGCATGTGTATCTATCATATTTGTTTGCAGTTTGCATTTCAGTGTGCACTGAATAGAAAGGACACAATCTGACTATAATGAAATCAGAACATCAAATACAAAACTCTCTCCCTGTACATTTAACAATGCTTTCCCTATTACAGTGAACAAGAAATTTTGCGAGAGGAAATCAAGTCACTATGTGCTCTAAAGGGCCGACTTGGGCAGCGAATTCAAGAGCTGGAAGAAGAGCTGAAAAGAGTCCGTGAAGAGGCTGAGCAGACGGCCAAGGCTTCCAAATCTGATGATGAAGTATGTTTGATAGTCTTTGTTTGGAAGGATTTGACCCTTTGCACATTCCATTGTACAGAGTAGTGCAGTGTGCTGTCAGCCCAGTTTTTCTCTGTATTTGGATTTTGAATGCTATTTTACTGTGGGAAAAGGGTTAGTTGTACTCATATGTTACAAGTATTTGAATGTTTCTAGAATTCATTGTTATTGTTAACAAGCAGGAAGATGTCCCAATGGCACAGAGGAAGCGGTTTACGAGGGTAGAAATGGCGCGAGTATTAATGGAAAGAAATCAATATAAGGAGCGATTTATGGAACTGCAAGAAGCAGTTCGCTGGACAGAGATGATCCGAGCCAGCCGGAATGATCCCACATTAGATAAGAAAAGCAAGCAAAGCATATGGAAGTTGTAAGTGTAATCATATGTTCAAGTAAATTGAATTTTTTAGGTAGCCAGCTTACAGATAGCTGAGAGTGAAAGTAAGATTTTAGCTTTGCTTTTCAGTATGCAGCTTTAGACTAGCATTACATTTTATTTGCAATACAGTCATCTCTCGATTATCCGGGATAATGGTGGGGATGGAAATCACGATTAATCCAAAACTCGGTTAAGACAAATTTTATTAAAAGTAGTACTGTAATACTGTACTTTCATAATACTATAGGCCTACCTGTATTTAAATTTATTCAACCTCATTTTTATGTAATCTCATGGCCTATTTAATACTTTTTTTTACATTACACCGAAGTCTGAATTAGTTATTTCAATCACAGTCGTCAACAACATCCAACACTTTTTACGAATATTCACACTTATCACTTAAAAAAATTTAATATTGTTGTTTACTTTTTCGCGGCATTTTCCTTTTTCTGTTGAATACTTAACACAGCACGCTTACTTTTACACCCTGACATTTTGCTAATGCACTTGAAGATCGATACAAAGAAACTAACTGGGGCGATGTATCTGTCCTTAAATTTTCCACAAATCCTTGCATTCTTTCACTCCTACCCTAGAACATTGTGTTAGCATAACTGGACCAAAGAATGCAGAGCTCGGTTCACACTAGTGCGAAAATCGTGTTACAACTCACCATGTGAAACAAAAGTGAATGAATATTAAACAACATATAAGCCTCAAAAAAAGCCTCAGTAGCCCCGGTTAAGCCGCAAACCGGTTAATCTGCCCCCGGATAATCGAGAGTTGACTGTATATGTGGATGCAAAGCTTAACAGTATACTGTCTGCATTATGTGTGTATTTAATATGTACCTAGTGTACAATTTTACAATGCTGTAGATTTTTTTCCTAAATCATTACATTACATTGATGATGTATTTCTGTGGAAAAAAAAAGAATATATTTTTTATGACACTTCTGTGAAGACAGCCATCAGCTTCTTCATCATATTCTGCAGATTGAGTGTTTCTGTTATGTTGCATATCACACATGCAGGTGATCAAATAATCATGTATGATCATCATTAACTCATTGTCTTGTGTAGCAAAAGGTAATGTGTGTAGTCTCTTCAACAACATTTTGCTTCCTTGTAATGTTTGATGATATTAAGCACATTTTTCCTGTCACCAGATTCAAATGTGAACTCAAAGGCAATATATAATTTGCCTAAGTAGCAGTTGAACAGTCAGACTGCTTTGCCACTTTAGCTGCATTGTTTGCACATTTACTTATTTCTGATACAGTTACATGTATAAGAAATGCTCAGAGTTTCCATTATTTTCTTTAGGAATGGTATTCAGTCTCGGATTTTCCGAGAGTGTTTTTGGTAAATAAATACTTCTACAAATGGTATATTAAAGTCACTCTAATAACATGCAGCTTGACAATGGTACAGGTTTTCTGAAAACGTGCTATAACTGCAGCAAGTTTGTTAAGCATTAGCCATAAGCCCATTGAACTGTTAACAGGTACTTGTTCAAAGCAAACTTCATTGTAAAATACATACCTGACCACAGTAACTGCATAAATTCTGGAAAGACAGCAACATCTGCACTAAGATTCTGAACTTCGTATAACAACTGTTTGCACTAATTGGTTTCCTTCCTGGAATCCCACATAACTGGTTATGCAGCCATAGCAAGCCATTATCTTGTTGCTGGCCATCCTCAAATGTTGATGGGCACAATGATGGGATTTACATAGCCATTCCACAGGGTTCATCATGTAGTCAGTCATGGGCTGCTCCTTGTTGTAGGAGCCCCAAACAGCAGGTTGTAGGACATATGTAGGTCTCTTTCCAGCATCATGCTGGTGGGCATTGTACCTGTATTTGTTGGGTTTGATTCTCTGTAGTCTGGCAGGAAGATGGGAAGACTCTGGTCGCAATCTTTCTGATGTGTTGAAATGACTTTCCTCAGGTACTTCTCCATTGCCTTCTTGTATAATTTGACCATGTCATCCAATTGTGGATGCATAGAGGTGTTGCACATCCCACAGATGGCAGGGCACTTTAATGCTTGTGTGAGTTATGACTTGAACAGTGCCCTGATGCTATACTGGTGCATCAGGCTCTGGCTCTGGGTTCTGGGACCTCAGCTTGCTGTGCAGATGGCTCACTGTTGGTATCACCTCCACATGGCTCCTTGTGTGTCTAGCCAGTAGCGCACTGTTTATCCTTTGCCAGGGTTCTGTTGACTGCCTGATGTCATCCTGAAGATTCTCCATGGAGCTCATACACATACTTGCTTCACATTATTATGGGGAAGAATTATTTGGATTACCTCAGACTATCCATCAGCTGACTCCCAGCAGTGCTTTAGCATGTGATCTTCCACTACTAGGGAGTTCCACTGAACCCAGTAACTCTTGTAGATAGGACTGCAGTGAGTGATATCATTTCACACTATGCTTTCTAACCTCCACTTCCTATAGAATTGGACACCATATTGTCATTCAGCTGCTTCCTCCTGAGTGTGTCATGGTTGTAACAGCAGCAGCAAAGCAGCAACAGTGATAAATCATACCATTAGGCTCTCTAACTCTTGTCAGGCATTGTGGCAGTGATTGTATGTCTCTGGGCAGGGTCTTTTGAAAGGGAATTTGTTTTGGGATGCTTCTGCTCTTTGGAATGTTTTGCTTCTGCCCTTGGGAATGTTTTGATGTAAAATTATGTTCTTGGAGACATTGGACCCAGCTGGCTGCCTTTCCTTCCAGGTCTTTAAAAAGGAGGAGTCAGATCAGGACAGAGTGATTATTCACAGGTATAATTCTTGTCCACAGAGGTAGCTTTGGAAGTGTTCCTGTATATTTGCAGTAGTCACCTATGCAGCAGTTCCTCTCAGGCCTGGATATGGTCTTGCTTTCATAAGCTATTACATGATCCTGGCCCTTTCATATTTGTAACATCACATCTCCAATGCCCATGTTGCTTGTATCTGTGTTGAAAAACTTCTCACCCTGCCATGCATATCCTGGGATGAGTGCCATACATAATTCCATGAGGGACCATGTTACTTCTGCTTATGGAGACCACTGGAAAGTCAGCTTCTGTAGCTTGAGCCAGGAGTTTTGCAGAGTCTGCAAATCCAGCTTTTAACTTCCAGTAGTAGACAGACTAAGGAAGCTCCTCACCTAGTCTCTGTCTTCAGACAGGCACCACTCACCATACAGGCTTCACCTTTTCTGGGTCCTTAGTCATTCTGTCCAGCAGTACAGTATGTCCCTTTTACAACACCACCTGGTACAGTTGGCACTTCTCAAAGATTAGTTTAAGGTGCGTCCCTTGGAGACACTGGAATACCTTTCACAAGTTATCATGCTGCTCTTGGAAAGTCCAGCTGACAGCAATCTCCTCATCAACTTATACCTGGCAGTATTCATAAGTCAGACCTGCCACAGCCCATCTCTATAGAATGGTGTCTTCTCCTTGTTCCTGGAGTATGGGGCAACCTGCCAGTAGCCAGTCTTCAAATGGAGGGTCAAGAACCACTTGGTCCTGTCGAATATCTAGGGTAATGTCATGCCTTTGTAGTAGGAAGCTGCCCTTTTTAATGTCATTCAGTCATTGGTAGTCCGCACAGAATCAAAGGTCTCAATTCTTCTTCCTGATGAGCATAACAGGCAAAGTTGAGGACTGAGTGACTCCTTGATTACCTCTCATCCTTTCAGGTCTTTCAGCATCTCATCTGCTTGAGTCTACTTGGCTGTTGGGTATCTGTGAGGGGGCTGATAAGTTGGACAGGTGTTACCAGTGTTTATGCAGCAGTGATCCCTATTAATTTGCCCATATCTGCTGCTCTTCATAGTGAAATTATTGTGGAATGCAATGATTACTTTCTCCATCATTGAGGTAAAGCCTGATGCTGAACACCACATATTGTACCTGCAGCACTCAAGTCCCTTGAGTTTGAGGTTTTGAATTGTTGACTGGTGCCCCAACATGACTGACTGGTTCACAGTGGCTGAGGGTGGTGCCATGAGCCAACGCCTGGTCATGGTTGAGGTTGCTCTCATTAATGATGCTGATGTTAGCGTCCATGAAGCTTCAACCGATGTCATGGTTGTGTACAGTCCTTGGTGATAAATCTTCAAAATGTGTTCCAATGGATTTTTTTATGACCCTCGGAGGTCAGGCATGCCATAATGACACCTGTTCTTGACCCAGTCATAGCACAAGTTGTTTTAAGTCTACTGCCCTATCTTAAGCTTGCAGGGTGTCCAGCCCTAGGATGAATTCATTTATTATCTGTGTGTTGAACACCCAGATTTGTAGCACACTCTACTTAGAGTCAGCTGTACCAGGACCTCATTCAGGACAGGGAGAGGTTTCCCAGGCGCCATCTGAAGAATTTACAGCCAACTCAGCTTTCTCTCTTGAGTCCTGCAGTGATGTCAGGCTTGGCGATGGTTGTGTACACCCTAGCATCAGTGATCACTGCTCATGGAGTGTCCCCTATCAAGTCTTTGGCAGTTAGGCCGTCATCATTCCTCTTAACTAGTATGATGAGGGTGATAATGCCAGCAGCCCGCTCTTCACACCAACTCTTACTTGTTTCCTGAGCACTGATCAGCCTACTCATCCTGTTCTATTGATAGTCTATTCTGAAATGACCAATGACCCCACAATGCCAACATACAGATTGTCCAGTCCAGCAGTGTGTGGTCTCTGGCAGTGGAGCTACCATGGGGGCTCTTGTCCTAACCTTATGCAGATTTGTTGCAGTTCTTGCTGTTGCATTGTGTATATATGTTTTTGTGGAGAAAGATTATGAGATGTTTTGTGCATGCCTGAATACACATGCACATGTGGTTTTTTCCCTCTCCCATAGCTCTGTCAAGGTAGGAAAATGTGTCCTTTTCATGTGTAAGAGTTTTCCTAACATGAAGACTCATGTTGTGTTGTGGGTTATGCCACCATGGTGTAGTCTGGCAGATGGCTGTCAATGTTTCAGAGGGACATAATGCCTTCATTTCTACCCTTTTCCTCTGAAACACTTGGTAACTGCCTACCAGCTGTCAATATGGTGTCATCACCCAAAAGGCCACGGTATTTCCAGGTAACCAAGTACCCGTGTATTTGCATCACTCAGTAGTACAAACTGCATTGTGCATTATTTAAGTTAACATGCCAGCTATCTTGCACATTTGTGTGCTCATTTTGGAACCTATCTATACTAAAATTAGGGTCTTCTGGAATGTAATACTGTATAGTTAGATAGTTATCAGCATTTCAAAGGAACCTGCTGCCTTGGGCAGTATGTGGAGACATCACTTTCCTCCAAAATGTTAGTACCTGTCTACCAGACCACATGGCGTCACATCTCAGAAGATCGTGATTTTAATGCCACTATGAGAACCTGAAATTCTGTGTCTAATAATGTTGAAGTACTGGTTTCATATGAAAGTCTCCTATGAGCAGAGAAACTGCAGTCTGCCCACCATAATTCTTGCAAGGTGAAGAAACTTTATTTCTCTTAAATTTGCCTTAACCATTGTTCCTGCTTAACTTATTACAGTAATTATTTATCACGAAGTCTAAGATCTGTTTTTTTTTTTTGTAGAGTCAGCAGCTACTGGCATCCATCAAAGAAATTAGTGAACTTCATGCCATCAAATTTATTGTAGATCATGTATCGGTTTCCTACCCTCACACAGTCTTCCTGCCATAAATTTATTAATAAAATGTTATAGCTGTGGTAAAAATTTATTTATGTGACATGTTCACATGTTTGAGGTGCATTGGAAAGTTCCCAGACTAGGTCAAAAAAGAAATGCTGGCTTACCTTAATTTTGGCTGCCATCTCCTTCAAAATAGTCTCATTTGAAACATATACAGCGAATCCATAATTTTTTCCACTCTTCAAAAGCACTGTGGAAGTCATTTTCATTAATGCAGTTAAGTACCGCTTGCGGTTCCCTTTGGATGTCAGACACCGTTTCAAAACGTTGTCCCTTCAGTTTCATTTTCAATTTGGGAAACAAAAAAAAAATCAGGGGACTAAGTCTGGCGAACAGGGAGGATGGGGAATGATAACCATGTTGATCTTAGTCAACAAAGTCTGTTGTTTTCAAGGACGTGGGCAGGCATGTAGATGTGATGAAGGAGCCAATTGTGATTGTGCCAAAGTTCCTGTTTTATCATTGCACATTCTCTCTCTCAAGTGTTTCAAAACATAAGTAAAAGTTAGAGTTGAGCATAGTGTTAGGAGAAACAGATTCATGGTCAACAGTACCCTTCACATAGAAAAAAAAATCAATGAGCATATTCTTTATTGAACTCCAGACATGCTGTACCTTTTCTGCTCTTGCTGATTGTGAACCATTTCACTGTGATGACTGTTGCTTTGTTTCTGGATCATAACGGTATGAATAAATCCAACTTTCATCACCTGTTATAATCCTAGAGATAAAAGTTGGGTCCTCATTAGCCTTCTCTCGTAGCTCAAGGCACTTGCTCACGCGCTGCTACTTTTGATCATTTGTCAGGAGTCTGGGAACAGACTTTGTGGCAGTGTGGCACATGTTCAGATTTTCTGTTAAGATCTCCTGGCAAACTCCATAACTGATCCCAGAGGTGTCTGTGAGCTCATGGCTTGTTTGGCAGTGGTATTTGTGGACGAGTTCTCGAATTTTTTTCAACATTTTCTGTTGTTCTTGGTCACCCTGAATGTTCATCATCTTCAAATGACACTCGACTGGCCTTGAAACATGAATACCATTCAAAAACCGCTCTCCAACATAAAGAATGTTCTCCAAAAGTCTCACAGAGCATTTCAACGGTTTCGGTAGTGCATTTACTGAGCTTCATGCGAAACTTGATGCAGACACATTGCTTGATTTTGCCATCCATCACAGACAAAACGAAAGACAGTCGAAGAAGCACTTATGTAAGAACAGTGCATGTTCACAGTGTGGTGTCACATGGCAGGCTGATGCACTAGGTTTGCAGAATTGTGGCCTTGGCTTCCCCTTTCATCTTCTGTCACTGAAGCAGTTACAGCTGTAACAGTCTGGGAGCTTTTCGATAGCACCTATAAGTGAAGGTTTTGTTTGTTTCCAGTTTCAGCAACCTGTTCAGCACAAGTGAACGACCGCAACGCAAGCCCCTACCTCATGTTAATGTGCGCTACAATGCACCTACACATCTTGTGAGCCCAGCACTTGACACGATGAGGAAACGCTCTCTCAATGATCGAAAACGTGGTTTTGACTTCATGGATGGCGAACTGTGAGCATTGGGTATCCTCCATATTCTAGATATGTACATGATACGCATGATACAAGGGTTATTCTGAAAGTAACTTTTGGTGAGCTGTTAAAAAAACAAGTAATGGGGAGAAACAAATGTTATTATATACAAAAAAAGTATGTATATACTTAAGCTACTTCTCATTGTAGTCACCACCAGAATTAGGCACTTGTCATATCGAGGAAGAAGTTTTTGTATGCCTGTGTCAAAGAAGCCTGCTTCCTCTGAGTTCAGCCATGTTTTGTATCTTGAAACACTAACAAAATTGCATATGGTTAACCATTCAGAACTAAAGGCGTGGAATGCTGACATCAGTGTAGTGCTCCTTCATGACAATGCATGTTTGCATACAGTTTCTCACATTTGAGCATGACTGGAGCATTTCAACTGGGAGTTGTTTGACCACCCTCCATACAGACCTGATCTCACTCCAAATGACTGCCACCTGTTTATCTACCTGAAGAACTGGTTGGGATCACAGCACTTCAACAGTAATGAGGGGTTAATGGAAGGTGTCAAAATGTGGCTCAGCTCACAGGTGGCAGACTGCTTTGACACGCCTACAGAAACTGATTTCCCTATATGACAGGTGCCCCTGTTCCAGTGGTGACTACGTTTAGAAATATCTTAAGTATGTACATATTTCTTGCATATAATACAATTTTTTTTCTCATTGCTTGTTTTGTTAACAGCTCACCAGAGGTACTTTCTGAATAGCCCTCGTATTTGTTACACTGAATAAGTTGAAACTGTTGTATTAGTTGGTGATTATAAAGTGAATTTTGCAAATATCACAGTCAGTCTGTGTAACCTCTACCCTGATTGTGGCTTAAACTGAATAGGTCAGTATATTAATATTCTGAACTGCAAGAATTTGAATTCTTTAAATCTTTTACGACCTGTTGCTTCAGCTATTTAAAGAAAGTAAATTTAAAGAAATTTAGGTACCAACAGAAGAGCAAATGCTTCTGTTTTCCAAGAATCACAAAAATAATGCAATTGTATTAAAACAAATGTATCTATATGTTCATTGTTGACAGAAGAATACAGGTATTCCGTATTACACACTCTCCATACATGTATTTACTGAGAATCAGAAAATTAATATAGGTGTTCAGAAAGGATGACACCCATATTCTCTTATTCTGTTTGTTCAGAGAAAAGAGAAAATAATAAATGTATGTAATTTCATGTTGGCATGTGACACATCAGACATGCTATCTTGGACCTGCCCGGCATGTGAGAACATCTTACCTTACCTATTGCCAGTATTCTGTGGAACTCCTTTCTCCTTATCCAGACTGCGCAGATGTTTGTACTGAAAAGTCATTTTTTCCGTGTTGGAATGAATCGTGCCTTTTGTCTCTGAAGGCCAGTATTTGTGTGATAAAACTTTGTGCCATATATCCATGTTCTCATTTTCCTTTTGTATCAGTCTCTGCAGCATTACCTCCTGTGCATAGAATCGTTAAGTGCCTTGGAGAATCTTCGTGTATAAACACGAGACAGTCCAGTTGTTGAGATCTGGGTGTGGTGAAGGTTGTGCCTCTCTTCTTCATGTTGTTATATTCTCATGGCAAGATGAATCGATCCAGGCACAAGATAGCAGATTTCAAGAGGTGAAACCATTCGTGCAAGTTCGCCACTCCTCCTCTTGCTCTGTGAAGAGGGAGGAAGTCATGATCACATTCCTGTATATGTGGCACTTGCCTGACACACTAACATTTATTGCTCAGAGATCCAGCTCCTCTTGTACCCTCTGAAGTGTACCTTTTACCATCTTCCTTGTCACTGAAATGTCCACAATATGATGAGTGAGTTTGTGGATATTGGCTCCTGGAATGTGACCTCGTATAGTCTGATATATGTGTATGAGACTGTGTATGAGTATGTAATCAAATTCACATCACCTTCCAAAAGACACTCATCTTCATAGTCACTTCTGTGAGGACCTATAGTCAGCTTATATCTCATCTTTGTGGCACATTCATGATGTTCTTGGAGATTATGATTGTCAAGTCCATGTAACTGACATTATTTTATGCCATTTTATTTACCTGTATCTTATGGTGAGCTGCAGAAATCCGTAAGTCCTATTTATTCATACAGGTTTCTCTCTTTCTTTTGCCCTGCTAAGGATTTGTCTTTTTAATGTTCTAGCTATGTTTATGCAGTTTCTCAGTTTATCTCAGTCTTGCTGATCGTTCCAATTACAGTCTGACCTTTATTTAATTTTCTCCATATTAGTAAAGGATTTATAACTTGAATTATAAACAGGCCCACATAGCCTACAATGTTGGCATGCTATTAAGTCCTCACACATCCACATACACACTGAATGAAAAGGGGAGTTTGAGAGAAGTAGACATAACGGGAAGGATAATATTAAAATTGATCCTAAAAGTAGGGTCTTATGATGGATTTATTTGGTTTGAGATAGAGACCAGTGCTAGGTTCTTGTGCCTACAGTAGCAAACAGCTTTATAACTGGTCTTCTATGAAACTGAGGTATTGTATAAAGCTTATAACTTTGTATTTCATATCTTAGGCAGTAAATGGTAATGCCATCTTGAGCAGCATCCAGTTGAAACTGATGTGGGTGACACAATGTGTTGGTCCAGAGGTAATGCTCTAAACTTGTATTTAGGAGGAGCTTGGTTTGAATCTTGACTGAGACGCTAGCTATCATGATCGAGAATTTGCATTGTTTTCCTCAGTCTCTCCAGACATTCCAGGATAGTACCTTGATTAGGCCATGATCACTTCCTTCCAAATCCTTTCCAACTCATTATTCATCTAACACCATATCATCGCACACTACATAGTCTTGGTATTGAAAAGCATTAATAAGTAGCCTGTGAAAAAAAAAAAAACGATGTGGCACTCTGAAGTGTGCATTTTATTCCCTGTGGATACCAGATCATCAGAGAAGCTTGCTGCTCGCCGTGCAACTGAGAGACGAGAACAGTATCGACAGGTTAGAGCCCATGTCCGCAAGGATGATGGACGTTTGCAGGCATACGGATGGAGTTTGCCTGCCAAGGTGCCTGGGACTGCAGGTCCAGTTGCACAGGGAACCAACGCAAGCCGACAACTCACTGCAAGCACAAGCCAGGTTCCAGTGCCAGTACCTGTGTACTGCCGCCCTTTGGCAGAAAAGGAGCCAGGCATGAAAGTAAATACCATCAGTATATGTTCTGTCATTGCAAAAGCTTTTCCATTCTTCACTCCACTGTCAGAGCTCCTGTATGTGTCCACTTTTTCCCCTGCTACATTTTATGTGTTTTTCCTGCCTCTATATCACCATCTAGTCAGTTATTTACATATTTTGCATAGTGTACTAGTTTCTAGCGTAGTTGGTTGAGGCACCGTGCTCCAAGCGAGAAGGTCGCGGGATCGAATCCTGATGAGGTCATTGGATTTTTTCATTTTCCCTAATCATTCCAGCCGCACTATGGCCCTGGGGTCGCCTCGGCCTCTAACAGAAATGAGTACCAGGAATATTCTTGGAATGTTCTTGGGGGTAAAGGGAGGCCGACACGTAAAGCTGACAACCTTACCACCATCTATGAGCCGATTGTCTAGACAATGTGGGAACCTCAACATCTCACTACCCTATGGGCCTCCATGGCCTGTTACAGGGAGACCTTTACTAACTTTACTGGTTTCACATTGTAACTTGGGATAAGTGAACAGTTTGAAAAGTTAACTGTGCGTGAACCTTAAACAAGTTTGTTTTGGTTGAGTTTGAGAGTTTGAATTTTCAAGTTTGGCCACAAAATATTGAATCTACTGCCAAAACAAATTCATCCTATGATGCTGCAGGAAAGTGTTACATGTACCTGGTTTCTGTTTTTGAAGAAGTACTTATTTTTAGCTCACTTTCCTTATTTTTAAAAAATAAATGTAGGCTTGTAAGACAACCTACAGTCTGTGTATGTGTATGCATCTGTATGTATGTCCCCCCCCCACAACTTTTGAATGCCTGCACTGATCTTCAAGAAGCCCTGTATGCCTATCGTGCCACCTAAGGCCATCAAGAGCGTAATTCATAAATCCCCTTCAGCAATGCAGCCTCTGAAATTGTTGAAGTAATGGCCTTGATATTGTGGCATTATTACTTAACAATATTATTTGACTGCCTGAACTAATCATAATGAAACTTGTACAAACTGCAGTATAGTATTCATTTTTAATTTAATATTTCATAGATTAAGAAGGAGTAAAACATTAAGTGTGCTCCATAGTTTAATATTATATTTCTGGTGAAATTTGAATTTAAGTATGTCTAAGTTCACACATCCTTAATTTTAACCCTTGTTGACTACTTCTTAATGCCATATGCAAACTTCATCTCTCTCAGTCTGTATACAAGTTCCTGCTGTATATGTCAAAAAATACAAATATTATGCCCTGTATAACATGACTCATGCTCTTTCTTTTACCCTATTCATTGTAAATGGTGTCTCCAGCACAGTACTCAGATTTTCCAGTGGTTTAGGTTTACTCTGTAATTTTCTTTTGGGTGTTTTTATTTCTTAGAAATTTACTGCATAAATAAATAATTTCAACTTTCTTCTGATTGTTCTTATTAACTAACTCCATGGAGCATAATTCTTAAGATGCTAATAGTTGCTCTCAGCTAGCCAAATTCTTGCCTCTTGCTCAATCATTACCAAGTTGTCAGCATCATTTTGATGTACATAATGGCAAGAAAAGATAGAGTATGTTTCAGTAATAGTGATGACACATTGGTGATGAGCACTTTATAAGCAAATATAAATACCAGCATATGTTTTGTTTATATTCTTGTATTCCTTTACACTTCATTCTTAAATCATTCAGATGTGTGAATTACTGTAGGAGTTACTTTTCTTCCCCCCCCCTCTTTTTTCCCCCCCTGTTGCTTCTCTTGAAAAGTGGTGAGGAACAGAAGTTTGGATTGACAACCAGGTGACCTTCCAGTTCACAGTGTGTTAAAATCTCAGAGCTGGACAGTGTCTGCTGTAGTTTCCAAAGGCTTTGTATGTGTCTGCAGATATGGTGGTGCAGCTGTAGTGAACTTGCAAGGGAGTTCTGCATGCAATGGTGTTGATTTTGTGAGAGCAAAGTTCTTTGAAATACATGGGTTACTTCAAAAGTCATGGCAACTAATTTTTTGGGGGCAAACACATTACAGTGAAGAAAGTTCAAAATATACTTATGAAAGGGCATGATATACCCCTCCGACTGGCTTAGTCAGATCAGGTAGATGTGAAGGGGCGTAGGTATAGTAGGCAAGAAAAATTGCACATTACAGAATGACTGTTTTTTTTTATTCTTTAATCCTCGAAAAATTCAATTGTGATTAAGAAATAAAAAATTCAATTTGAGTTAAATCTGAATTCTTACATTATGAGTAGCAACCTTCAAAATAGTCTCCAAGTGTTTCAAGTACTTGCTGCCAGTGATGAGGAAGACGGCGAATACCATCAGCTTCACCATCTCCAAATCTTGTCATCTCACGCCGAACTGCGTTGGAAATGTCCTCTCATGTATGAAAGCATTTCCCTCGCAATGGCTGTTTCAATTTGGGTATTAAGTCATAGTCACATGGCAAAGAGTCGGGTGAACATGGAGGATGTTGTAGTACTTCCCATCCCCAATGTCGTAAACGGTTCTTGACACTGTTTGCTGTGTGGGTGGTTGCATTGTCGTGAAGGACAGTGGCATTGTTAAGCAGTTCAGGACGTTTATTCCTAATTGCACGACATAAGTTATTCTGCAGAAGGGACTCATAATACACTGCATTGACAGTTTGACCATGTGGAACAAAATGACACAGAATAACTCCCTGGACATCATATGCTAAAATGACCATTAACTTAAAAGGGGATGGGTTTTGACGAAACTTGTGCCTTCGTGGCGACTCTGGATGTCGCCACTCAGCGGACTGCCGTTTAAGCTCAGGTTCATACTCCCTAGCCCATGTTTCATCGATGGAAATTATCTGATTCAAGAAATTGTCACCTTCAATTTCATATTGTTCGAGGTTCACACGACTTGCTTCATAATGTGTCCACTTTTGAACCTTGTTTAATTCATGTGTCACCCACTTCGTAGCAATCTTGCGCATGTGTAGGTCTTTTCGTAAAATTCAATGCACAGTTGCCTGATCAATCCCTGTATGTCTCTCCAACTCCTTCAGAGACAAGCGCCTATCTTCCTCCATGCACTGGGCGATCACGGCACGAGAAACGTCAGTACGAACAGACACAGGGCGTCCACTACATTGCAAGTCGGCACTTGCTTCTCTTCCATGTTGGAATGCTTCTATCCACCTTGCAACAGTTCTGTATGGTAGAGCACAGTCACCCAGAGATTCCACAAGCTCTGAGTGACATTCAGTCGCATTTCTGCCACGAAGCACTGCTATTTTCACGTAACAACTCTGTTCCAGCTGGCTAACGTTCATTCTCGATGAAGGTTATGATCACACTGACTTCGCACTGGACTCGCTTCATTGTCTTTGGCCTTCCGCATCATCTAGTGGCATCATTAGAAATCAGACGTTGCTGTCTCTCAGCCGCAAATTTGGAAATTCTAGTTGGAGCTTTCAAAATTTCGGAAAAATTATGTAGCCATGACTTACTTACCCACATATATGCTAATTTTGAATTTCAGATATGGTGTGCAGCAGGGGTGAACCTACAAGGGGGTCGTACACATGATGGTGGTAGTATTGTGGGTGCAAGTGTGTTCTATACCACAAGTCGATCTGAGGGTGAGGAAAAGGGTGAAGGAGAAATGCCAGAGAAGACGACTTGCACTGAGGTGGACAAGTTGGACAGAGAACTGAAGGTATTTGCTTTAGCTGTACTTTACTGCACTCACTCTGAAAATGGAGGCAGTATGTTCCTCAAAATCATGACAGCCAGTTACCAGACTCTATATTATCACAATTTTATTTCTATGACTGCTTTATTTTACCATCTCTTGAATCTCTGAGCAGGCTGGTATAATAATAATACTCTTAGACTTATATTTAGGCTGTAGCTGGTTTGAAACTCACAGACAAGTGCTGGAAAATAGATTATAACTGCCTCCTTACACCTTTCTCCTTTCTCATACATTTTCATTAGGCACTTTATTGCATATAACTTCTGTGGTTAAAGCAGTGCCATTAATCTGCAGAATAATTTATTTCTTCAAATGTGAAAAACACTGAGATGTGGTAGTTTTGTGTACAAAGTAGTCTTGTCACCTGGGCATTTTGACATGTAATGTGACAAAGTGACTTCATCTATAAATGTACATTGTAGATTTTATTTCTTAAACCATTTAAGCTTTGCATAAAATAAAAACAGTAAATTCAGATCTCATTAATTTTGTATTAAACATAGGTAATTAGCACTTTACAGTGAATGTTATGCCTTCCTTTTTATCAAATAACTTGTTGAATTTAGAATTTGAAATTCTGGATTATTGAATGCAAAATTTACCTGAGATTTAAGAGATTTATTTTGTATAACTTCTTCCAGGTCACCAGCTATGTAAGGATTAATGATGAACACAGAAAATATTCACAAGTTTTAAATCAAATTACAAGTTGAAGAGTTCTGTCTCCCATGATATACTGCCATGTAAGTCAACTGACATTTGGAGAAATATGTAGCCTCCATATTCAGGGTCAAAGAGGAAGCCAAACAAGAAACCAACATAAAGCAGGCAGCAAGCAAAGCATGCTTCATGCTGATAGATACTATAGGGTTCTGACGATGGTGTATAACACACAGAGATACTGGGTTTTTGGGTTTTATCCATCGTTCAGACTCTAAATAACTAAGAAAAAAACACAACATTTCGGAAACTGGATCTGTTTCCGTCCTCAGATGAGGGAAGACACCTACACTGTTGGCTAGCTCGTTCTAAGGGACCCAACAGATTAGGTGTCTTCCCTCACCTGAGGATGGAAATAGATCCAGTTTCCGAAATGTGCCTTTTTTTTTTCTTAGTTATTTAGAATCCGGACGATGGACAAAGTCCGAAAACCCAGTATCACTGTATGCTTCATGCTGGTTTCTTATTTTGCTTCGTCTTCAACCGTGAAGATGTAGGCAACATATTTGTTCAAAATGTCAGTTTACTTTACGTAGACTGTACAGCTTTATGTCTCAGAAGACAGAACTCTTCATACTCACCACTGGGAGAACTTCATTCTTAATAAGTGACAAGTCAGCCATGCTATATCCCAACTGTGAACATTAAGGAAGCTTTTTTGCTGTGGTGAAAATGAAGTTTCTGGCCTTCTGTGATATGGTGTGTAGTTGCATAGGTGGTTACCACCACTTCAAGAGAACAAACTGCCTCCATTATCTGGATGGAAGATGAATGAGACAGCTTCCTGAAAATGTTTGTAACCACCTCTGATACTACATGGTTTTGTAACCCCAAAGACTACATTCTGTATAATGAAATGTGTTTGACACTTTGAGATAACTCCACAGATAATAGATATGTTTAAATCAGGTCCAAGAAAACCTTCCACATTAACTTCATGTAAGAGGAACCTTCAAGGGGGCACAACATAGAGGATTACATCATTGTAAGTTACATGAATATAAGAACATGTTTCATTAAAGCGATATAATTGTTCCAGAAAGGTGAGAAAGAGAGTCGTGAAAGCCAGGAACTGGAAACACAGCTCTCCAGTCTAGTGTGGATTTGTACAAGTACTCATGCAGCAAGCAAAGTGACTGTTATTGATGCCAACAATCCAGCAGACATCTTGGAGTCGTTCAGTGTGTGCAGTTCGCACCTCCTCTGTATCGCAAGTGTGCCAGGTAAGGCTAATTTTTGTCTAAATATCTAACTTGACAGAACAGAGTCCTTCTAATCTTATTTCTGTATTTTCAAGTTTAATACTAGTATGTTCTTGTGAATGTCTGTATATTTCATACCCCTTTGTGTGTACAACATATTTTGTCCTGCAAATTATGAAGCTATTCATTATGTACTTTCATCCAATCATTTATCTATCATCTCTTTTAGGTTCATATATCTTTCTCAGTACTTTGTTTTCAGACAAATCCAATCTGTGTTTTCTAGTTACAGTGAAAGACGGGGTTCAATCTGATACACCATATATAAAAAATGTAACTTCCTTGGCAGTATTCTTTTTGTATTGTGTCAGGGTTCTGTTTTGTAATGCAGACTAAATAAGTATGAAATTTAGCATATAATGTTCCTTACATGAAATTTAATACATATTGTACATTTTCCTTTGGATAAATTCCAGTTCAGTGGTAAGGTTAGTAATGTGTATGTATTTCTTGAGAAGTAATGTTTTCTCTGTCCATTTCTATCATTATACTCGTATATATTATCTTTCTTTCACTGCCAAATCACGTCTGTGGGTATGTTAAGTAATTACTATACCATGCGTCAGGCAGGTTGCGCCATAGCTCAAGGGGTTAGTCGCTGGCTTCCCACTGCGGTGGCCCGGGTTTGATCCCAGGTCTGGTCAAGTGGGATTTGTGGTGGACAAAGTCGTGCTGGGGCAGGTTTTCTCCGAGTACTTCGGTTTCCCCTGCCAATCTTCATTCCACCAATTGCTCCACAATCACCCTTACCTATCATCTGGGGCTGGTACAATAGGCCAGAAGTGGCCACAGTACAAGGGACTTAATACCACCCCACTAGCAATGCCATGTGTTAACAAAGTAAAGTGCCACTGCTTATAATGTTTCATGTGAATGGTGGTAACAGTATTCATTGTAGTCCTAATGCCAAAAAACTGAGATCTGTATATTGGAATGCATTTTTACCAAGGAACCAAATACAGTGGAGCCTTCCTTTAATGCCTTTAACTTTGGGCTTTCCCTCATTTAACATTGAATTTCCATGATCCCAAGTCAGTAATCCCAGTGTTAAATTTTTTTTCATTTAAGCTTTTTCTCATTTGAGTGTTGAAAGCCACTGCTCCCTAGACAAATTCAGAAGGGAGATTTCCCTGTATATTATGACCAGACATAAATTAACAATGAACGCAGTATTTGAATGTTATTCCTTATTAAAGTTTTGTTACTTATATATTGTGATGCTGATGAGGAAAGCAGCCATTTCCTTTGCAAGAACTGATGATTCTCCATAAAGAGCAAGTAAAATTAGGGACACAAAATGTATAACAATTTCTAAAATGAAATGCAGGAAACATTTTTGAAATGTAATCTGAACATAATTTAAGACTGTAGTCTTTTGAGAGCTGTTCACAGTGGCCATGCAGTCTAAGGCATGATCTGCTCCCTCGAACATTTGGATCATGGGTTCAAATCCTATTCAAGGCATGAATGTCTTTCTGCATTTATTTTGTGTTTGTGCAGGTAGCAGCCTTGTGACAGGCTGATCTCCTGTCCGAGGATGACTACTGACTGTCTTAGGATTAGGAAACTGAAGTGAAACAAAGTGTTTCACAGATGCCCCGTGCTCCAGAGTGGGAGCAACGGAAAAGAGAGAGAGAGAGAGAGAGAGAGTCATCTAAGAGCCACTGCCATATAGTTGTTGTAAATGATCGCCATTGTTTTAGAGGATTGTAGACTAAGACCTGAAGATGGAAGTTTGTTCCTCTGTAACATTACTGTCCACCTACTAGACTACTTGGCATAAGACTGCAGTCTTACCATTCATGGTATTGAGAACCTCAGATCTCAGGCACTTGATTTTTTGAGAATGTTATTTTGATTTGTTTTTGTTGTTCAGGAATATACTTGAATTTGTCGTGTTTCCAAAGGATTTATTGTATGTCCTTCATAATTTTGCCCAAATTCTTGGGCCAAGACAAAAATATATGCTTACTTTTTCTGTATTTTGAGATTTACTTTATTGGCTTCTAATAGTGTTTCTGTCTTCTTTGTGGTTTTTATAATCTTAAGCAGATAGAGTAACATCATAAACCTGTAGCCCAGATATTGCGTTGAGTGCTAGTATTTTATTGTACCGTCCAAATCATATGTTATAAAGTAAGGTTTACAAGTATTGGCACTAAGGCATCTCCTTTTTCAGACCATTCAGGTTGGGGAGTGTGTCACACAAATATTTTATATATACAGATTGTTTTCTGTAGGTTTTTGTAAGAATATTTGAATTAATTTAACAGGTGTGTCTGAATTAATGAGAATGTTATACAGAATTTTTTTCTTCTTGGATAATGGGATATTCTAAATATAAATATTTGATACAGTTTATCAATGCATAGTGGAACTGCAAGTAAAACAAGTATGACTTGTAATGAGACCTGCATTATACTGATAATGAATATTAGCACTGTTTCTTTCTTATTGTTGCATATATGGAAAAGTCTTATACAAGGTGCGTCAGAAAGAATGGATGGATTTCAAGTGACCGTTACGCCGTGACGGGGGGAGGTGTAGAGTGGGGGGGGCCGACCATTGGGTCAGCAGGAGAATGCAGTTTCAGTTGGTCACATGGAGTGGTCGGGTGCACAGCATGTGGTCGTCATAGAGACGTTTTTGAAAAACAGAGAGTCTGTGATTGCCACTCAGTGAGCCTTCCGCATTCATTTCGAGCTCGGACGTCACGATAGGATCCCTACTTGGAATACAATTTTGCGATGGGTGGCTTCATTTCATGCTACATGTTCAACCTTAAAGAAGAAATCACCTGGACGGCCACAGAGCGCTCATACGCTTGTAAATGCGGAGGCAGTAAGGCAGTCAGTTATCCAGTCACGTCAACGATCAGCTCACAAATGTGCTGTTGCTCTGAGATTATCCGACACTACGGTAAGACGAATTTTGCATTTAGACCTTAAATTTCACCCCTACAAAATGGTAATTGTGCAAGAACTTCATGCAGGAGAGTGGGAGAATCATGTTAACAGTTGCCAGCGTGCCCCCTACCGCCATTCTGTTGACCAGTGTCGAAGCCCATTTCCACCTATCCAGTTGTGTAAATAAAAAGAATTTTCAGTATTGGGCAGGAACCTAGCCTAAAGAACTGCATGAGAGACCTCTTCACAGTGGGAGAGTAACTGTTTGGTGTGCTGTAGCAGAATTTGGTGTTTGGGGGCCTTACTGTTTTGAGAAGGACGGCCGTGCAGTAACTGTTACAAGTGCTCATTACATTGAAATGTTACAAAATTTCCTGCAACCAAGGCTGAAGGAGCTTGCTGTTGATGCTGAGGACATTTGGTTTCAACAAGATGGGGCCACTACTCACACTGCACGAGTAACAATGGATCTCCTGAGAGGGCTCTTTCTGGGGCACATCATCTCACATCACGGTGACATTCCTTGGCTCACATGTTTGCCCAATCTTGCACTTTGCGATTTCTTCCTTTGGGGCCATTTGAAGGTGGAAGTTTATAAACATCGACCACATACACTGGACGAGCTGAAGACAGCGATTTGAGAAGAAATCATAGCGATTCCACCAGATATGGCCACGAGAGTGATGAATAACTTCAGAAAACGCCTTGACATCTATATCAGAAGCCAAAGACATCATATGGATGATATTGTATTCCACAAATAAACTGCATGTATTGGCGAATCTGATGGTAACAATAAAATTTGGATTTGATGAAGCTTTACCAATTTTATTGCCTTGTGAAATCCATCCATTCTTTCTGATGCACCCTGAATAAAATGAGGACATTTTTCTGGCACATTTACATTAACAAGCATTTCCTAGTCATCTGTGACTCTTTTAGTGCAGCCTTTTCCACAAACTAATCATAAGTTTGCATTCCAAGCTCTTTACAGCTGTTGGTCCATAAAGGTACCGTGAAACTACCCCCTGCGACTTTGCATTGTTTGCAAGAGGAAAATCTGGATTCCGCAATCTAAGAACTGTATGTCTTAATAGAGACTTTATGCAATCATGGGGTGGAAATTCTAAGTATTTGTATGTGGAATTATTCTAATTTGCAATTGAGAAGCTTCAGCTGATAGTCATGAGTACAGGTGGTTATGTAAGCATGAGAAATCTTCAACCTCTCAGTTCATATAATATTAAGAATAACAAGAATGTTTCATTGTTTGTCATTACCTTTATGTCTGTATGATAATCACTTCAACTTGTGGATAGATAACAGCTATGTGCTTTCTCCGTTATTGTATATATACAGCATAAAATCCATTTTGTTTTATTATGTGAAAACTACAAGACCTACAGGAAAAGTACGCCAGGCATCAAATGCAAGATTCATTGTTATGCACAAATTGTTTCCAAAACAATATTTGTTCTGATAAATGTTTAATAAGTTATGCCTGATATTTGCACAGTAATGTGCTTCGGTTTTTACGTAAAGAGTAGTGAGGTTTTAACCAAAACAGTAATGTGTTGACAATTTTTAGTAACACTCTTTGACATCAAATTTCATGAAAATCCATATATTAGTTCTGAAGTTATTACATACAGACAGATGGATAGACAAACAAATACTGTGAAGTTATTACATGTATTCACACAACTTTTCATTGCAGATGTGCCAAAATAATAAGTGCTGCCATACTAGAACAATTTTATAAACTGTAGTGCCATGTAATAATGTATGCAGTTAGAAGCTTGACTTGAAGTTTATATTGTTTGTATTTCAACCATTTTTAGATATTATGAATACTTATTATAATGAGCATTTGTGTGAATGCACATGGATGTGTAGTTGGTTGAGGCACTGTGCTACAAGCTGGAAGGTCACGGGTTTGATTCTCAATGAGGTGGATTTTTTTTTTCAATTGACCTAATCCTTCCAGCTCCACTATGGCCTTGGGGTCAACTCAGCTTCTAACAGAAATGAATACCAGGAATCTTCCTTGGGGATAAAGGGCAGCCAGTGTGTAAGGCTGACAACCTTATCACCATCTGTGAGCCAGTTTTCTACAGAATATGTGGGAACCTTGAAGTCTCACAGCCCTATGGACCTTTGCGGCCTGTTACAGGGATAGCTTTACTTTTACCTTTCTTAATTTCTCATGTGTTGAGGTTGCAGTGTACATGCATTTTATTCCATGGTATCTCATGAAAGGGAATTATTTAGTTATAAAGGATGTTTCACGCCATTTTGAATTCTGAAATAACACTATTTAATAACACATGGTGTGATCAGTTAGTGCCTGGACGGACAACAGAGTGATGCTATTGCAGTTAGGATAAAACTCCACTGTTAGTCAGATGTCGAGTAGAATCTGCTAAGATATTTCTGTCTGTTTCCAAGTTGTAGTTTGTTTCTCACAAATAACCCTGAGAAATGAGATCATACAAGGGTTATCTAGAAAGTAAGTTCCAATGGACTATTGAAAAAGCAAGAATTTATTTTCAGACAGTTTATATTGCCATTTGATGTACATACCATGCACTACTTTTTGACATACTTTCCACCATTGTTGAGGCACTTGTCATAGTGGGGCACCAGTTTTTATATCCCTGCATTGTAGAATGATGCCGCCTGCAATGCAAACCAAGTGTTTACGGCTTCTTTAACCTCATCATTGTGGAACTGCTGGCCACTAAGGAAAGGGTTCAGATGCAGGAACACATGAAAATCACTTGGTGCTAAGTCTGGGCTATAGTGGGGATAATCGAGTTGTTTCTGGCTAATTGTGATGAGATCTTACATTACAGCAGCAGTGTGTGGGCAGGCATTGTCATGAAGCATCACAACACCCTGACTAAGCATGCCATGTTGCCTGTTCTGCATTGCACAATGCAGTTTCTCAAGTGTGTCGCAATAGATGCCTATGTTGATTTTTGAGCATTGAGGCAAGAATTCCTCAAGCAGAATACGTTTTCTATCCCAAAAGACTGTGCACATGATCTTGCAAGTTTAAGTAGTCTGTTTGAATTTTTTCTTTATTGGCAATGATGCAACACTCATGTCTCATCACCTGTGACTATGTGGCTCAAGCAGTTATCTCTTGCAAGTTTAAGTAGTCTGTTTGAAGTTTTTCTTTATTGGCAATGATGCAACACTCATGTCTCATCACCTGTGACTATGTGGCTCAAGCAGTTATCTCTCTGCTCAATGTATCGTGTCAGAAAGGTAAATGCACTGGCCTGCTGTTTCATTTTGTGTTCTTCCATAAGCATCTTCGGCACCCAGTGTGAACACAATTTCCAAAAACAAAGTTTATCAGACACAATTTTGTGAAGAATTGACCATGAAATTTGTGGAAAATGCAGGGAAAGTGACAAAATGTGAATCATCTCTTCTCTTGAATCTTGAAATACAATTGTATTTTTTGGCATTCATGAAATTGTCTATCATGAACTTTCCCCACAAGTTGAAGTCTGAACCAACAGTTTTATTCACATATTCCACAGTGTCTAAGAGGAGGTGTTTAAAAACATTCCATCCCAAGAAATGTCACACTGAACATTGATTTCTTCATCAGAACAATGCTCCTGCTCACTCTTGTTCTGTTTCAGCATAAATTTCTGGCTAAAAATGGTATGATGTTATCCCTTGCTGTTTGTCCCCCCACAGATTTCACGTAGTGTGAGCGTTTCTCTTTTTCTGAAACTAATGTTGGCACTGAAGAGGAGGACACTGGATGACAGTAATTCGAGAACAATCACAATGTACATTTGCTGTTTTTGAAACAGAGGACTTCTATAAATGTTTTTAACAGTGCTACAATCATTTTACTTGATGGGTCAAGTTTCAAGTGAACTACCTTGAAGGCATCAGCATAGAATATTAAGTTCTCCCCCAACCTCCTTTTTCTGCGGGCGCTACAATCTGTTACAATGGTTCTGCTCCTTCATTCTGAAAAAAGTGTCCCATCCATGTCAAAGACCCCACTTTGATCACTTTCACTATATCTGGTTCATTACATAATTTTCAATATATGGTTATGCCTTGACCACCATGTAACATTTTCCTTAATTGGTTCATATTAATAATTCTTATTAATAAATAAGTAACTTCTAAATCTGGTACCAGGAAGCAGGAATACAATACAATCCATAAATTATTTGATCACACCACATATAGGTTCTTTTCATGGATTATTACATGTTCATGAGTAATAATCTTTTCCTTCTTTGCCTTACCCTTTGGCCCTAAAAATGGAGACTGCCTTTTTCTAGCTGGTTTCTTGCTTGATTTATTCATTGACTGTGAAGACAGAGGCAGTTTATTCCTCCAGAACATTGGTGAACTTCCAGATAACATGGCTGACATCTGGATGGTGGTACTCTTCACTGAGATGGGTAAAAAAAAGTAAGTAAAGGTATCCCTGTAACTGGTTGGGCCCATAGGGTTGTGAGATGTTGAAGTTCCCACATTTTCTAGACATTTGGCTCATAGATGGCGGCAAAGTTGTCAGCCCTACACGCCGGCTGCCCTTTACCCCCAAGAATATTCCAAGAATATTCCTGATACTCATTTCTGTTAGAGGCTGAGTCAATACCAGGACAATAGTGTGGCCGGAAGGATTAGGTCAATTGAAAAAAATCCAGTGACCTCATCAGGACTTGAGCCCGTGACCTTCCGGCTTGTAGCATACTGCCACTGGGATGGGTCATCTACTAAATTAATGCATTACACTCTTAGGGGCACAGGAAAGTGATTACACAAGGTCTGATGTTGACTATGTGGAACTAAACAACAAAGAGGTGACAGAACAACAAGAGAAAGAAAAAGGAAGTGAAAGTGCCAATGTCATAGCAGGGAACGAAGAACAAGATGAGGATCTGGGTGATCAGGAGTCCAACATTGGCAAAATTTCATTTGTGAGTTGTGCAACAGGAAGTAGTCATCCTAAAAGTGACACTTCAACCAACAAAGGTAATTTGATTTTGAGACTAATGATAACCACTCAGCTAGTCAAGAAGCTCCTCACATGTTATGGAACCTGAAGATTCATTATTATGTTCACAAGAGCCAGCCACTGGTCACTGTCCTGAGCCAAATGAAACCAGTCCACACCCTTTAACCTGTTATTTTTAGATTAATTTTAATGTTATTAATCTGTCTGTTCCTCGGTCTTTGAAGTGGTCTCTCCTGTTTAGGTTTTTCATCCAAAATTTTATATGCATATCTGATCTTCAAGCTAGTAGAGTGCTTCCAGTGTTATAGTAAACATGGTCAGCGAAGAATGGTAGGATTTTTAACATCCTGTACTGCCATAAATATTATGAAAAATGGTAGAAAGGTCTGATTTTAATCTTTTGGAGCATGCTTGACACTGACAGTGCAGAGAATATCTTTCATACATTGTGTTATGAATCATCTAGTGTTAGCCTAAAACAAAATAAAATAATGCTGTGAATTGGACTGTATGCACCAAAATGAATCTTACATATAAGTTCCCTTTTACCTTTGTTTGAAAATAAAGAAATGTTTGAAGCACTAATTTGGTTTTAAGAGCTGTGATATTTCTTTATAGAATTTGACTCTATGGAGACAGCAGCTCCAGTACGGCGTCTGGTGAAGGAAGTTACTGGTGTTGTACGGGATGGACTTTCACAGCTCCCAGTAGGTTAGTGTTGTAATAAAAGTATAGAAAATAATTTTAGAGGAAACTGGTTTTTCTGAAAGAATTCCTTCTATGATGACCATCGATACACACACCATGAAAGAATGTATGAATGTCTTTTAATTTTGCCACATCTACCCTCCTCTGCATATGCATATAAGAATGCTTTTATAAACTGTTTACCCATTCCGCTTAGTGTATGTTGCTATCAGCATATTCCCCCTTCCCTCCCTCCAGATACTTATATTTCAAAGAATAGATCTGTAAAATTTGTGCAGTACTTTCCAAGAATCACAATACATGTACTCCTCAATTTATGTAAGGGATGAATTCCAAAAGAAGTTTGCAGTGGGAGCAATTGCATACATCAAACATCATTTTCCCATAATAACCAATGGCAGTGTATGAGATCTGCTACTAAAAGTGTCAGAATTCTTGCCAATACATAAACTGATTGTTTTATGCAGCATAATAGATCCGCATTTCTTATATTAGTAACATTTATGTAATTTCAGTATGAATAAATTGTGTTTGTAATCTTTAAAAAAAAGCGTGTTAGACATTACAAAGAAATTGGACTCCCTAATGGCCTAGAACTATGTGCAGAAAACCTGCTCCACTGAGATGAAATCGCCCTGTTGCCCTGAGAGAGATGAGGGGAGGGGAGAGAGGGAGGGAGAAAGGGACACATACTATATCTCTCCCCTTATGTCCATTGAAGTTGGTGGTCACAAACACATAAAAATTCTGTCTCAGGTAACTAATTCATCATTTAATTTTCAGTTTATTGCTATATTATAAACTTATGTAACCATGATTTTATATATACAGTGCGTACAATCAAGTGCGCGCCGNAAACAGGAATGATTCTAAACTATGAATTTTTTCAGCTTTTGGAATGTGAATTTAAGGAAACAACAGAACCCTGTTTTTCTCAGTGAAAATTTGTAAAATAAAATCTGCATCCCACTACCTTGAAGGGCCCAAACCGTCATTTCACTAAAGTTAATGGTATGCATTAGATCATCACACAGAAAATACCAATTGTGAACTTTACTGAAATTTTGTCAGTTTAGTGTTTGAACCCCTTGGCTTTTTGTGATTTCTTTAACTGTATTTAATGCTGTGTTCTCTCTTGCATAATATAGAAAATGATGTGCTGTATGAAGAGGTAGAGAAGATGAGCAGTGTGTTGCCAACCATATGGTTGGGCTCCCAGAATGGAAATATCTATGTCCATTCTGGCCTTTCTCAGTGGCGTCGGTGTTTGCACTCAGTACGCCTCAAGGACTCTGTACTCAGCATAGTGTAAGTATAACATATTAGTCTTCAGGTTATTTATATCCCGCCCCAAAAAAATAATTAGAATTTCAATCTCTATATGTAATTCTTAGTTATGTCCATCTTCTGTACGAAGGGCTTTTTATCTTCTGCCTTCAGCTTTAATAGAGTTATAGAACTGTAAGTACTTACTGCTATTGTTGTTGTTTTTCATATACTTCTCTTTCTCCTCCTCCACTGCATTGGATGGTTTTAGGGTCATTCCAAGATTCAGAAGTCAAATTTGCCTTTACATCTACTCCCATGTCTTCTTATGTCTTATTTTTTCTCTCATAGGTGGTGTGATGAAATAATTTATGGATTGTACTTTCTTCGTGGCAGTAGTTGCATGTCCAGGAGGTCCCCTTCAAAGTATGAGTAGTTTTATTGTAACTTTATGCATCAAGTCCTCTGGTTGTATCACTGTTGGAAGTCCTGTGTTTGGGATTCAGCAAGTGCAGCATGAAGTTCTTGAATTGTGATGATGTCATCCAGTCTCCTTCCCTTCAATGCCAGCTTGAAGTTCAGAAAAAATTAGGTCACACAGCACTAAATATGAAGAGTGTGGAGGGTGCGAACCACAGTAATGCCAGTTTTAGTCAGAATTTATATCTGAATGCTTGTCTTCTCTCCTCACCTCATTCAAATGGTAGTCTTATGGGGTTCTTCATTTTAATTGTAATGGTTAGTTCAGAATAGAGCATAGAAAATAAATCAACATGTATGAGGGCTGTTTGGAGAATAACCTTGGGTGAATTGTGAATTGGGTGAGAAAAAATTGTATTATATACGAGTACAAAAAAATATGTACATACTTAAGTTACTTCTCAACGTAGTCACTGCTGGAATTGAGGGACTTTTCATATGGGGCGATAAGTTTTTATATGCCTTTGTCAGAGAAGTCTGTGGCCTCTGAGTTCAGCTACCTTTTGACATCTTATAAAATCCTTATTATTGTTTAAGCACTGTGATCGCAGTCAGTTCTTGAGGTGGGTAAATGGGCAGTAGTTGTTCAGAGTGAGGTCAGGGCTGTAAGGAATGTGGTCAGGCAACTGTTGAAATAGTCCAGTGTTGCTCAAATGTATGCAGATGTGCATCGTCATGGAGCCTTACAACTGTTGTCAGGTTTCCATGCCTTTTGTTCTGAATGTCCGGCCCTATGCAGTTATGTTAGTATTTCACAATACACTTCTGACGTTATTGTTCTCCCTTGTTGCATGAATTTCACCATCAGCACTCCTTTCCTGTCCTTTCCCAGAAAACAGTTGCCATCAACTTTCTGGCAGGCAGACATTTGTTTAAATTTTTACGGCATGTTTGGTGAATGTGTGCATCCACTGCTTTACCTGCTCTTTGGTTTCAACATTCACATATGGCAGCCATGTTTCATCTCCTGTTACTTGTATTATGTGGTTGAGAAATTTATCACCATCTTTGCAGCAGCACTCTGAAAAAGTCAAAGCCAAAGCTATTCTCTGCATTCTCTGTGCATTCATGAGCATTTTCGGGACCCATCTTGCACAAAACTTGTGATAGTGTAGCCAAACTCTGATAATCTCATAGAGCACAGCGCATGAAATTTGTGGAAAATCACATGAAAGTTCTCGAAGTGCTGTCTTTCACAAATTTTCTAGTCAACACTTTGAACAAGATCACTCACTAGAGATGGCCAGATGACCACTTCATTTTTCATCATGAACATTGTTCTTCCGCCCAGCTTTGAACATTCTGCACCATTGTCATACAGTTCTTTTACTCATTACATTTTGGCCATAAACCTCTGTGCATAATTCACAATGGATTTCCACTGCACTGATGTTTTTAGTGCAAAGAAAGAGAATAACAGCGTGAATTCCTCAGTTCATGAGATTATCAGTCGCAAAACACATAACGCACTTGGTATAAAGAAGAACAAAAATTTTGTGACCAAACATGTGATGGTTTACAAGGCAATGAATCATGTGATGCTACTTCACATGTGCGAGCTCTCCCACTCTTATATTAGTTGAATAAAATAAATGGAGAATAATTTCCAAATAGCCCTCATGTAATAGGTGAACAGCTTTCAAAAAATGAGATCTGACAAGTAGATAGAAGTAAGATAGATGGTTGGAAGTAGGTGAGGAGCAGAAAAACATTCATTACCATTGCACATAATTGCAGGGAGAAAGTGTTCATTCTTTTGAATACTGTTATGTTGGCAGACATTGTAGATAAATAGCTAGTGTGGTCCAGTAGGTAACAGTTAATGTAACCTAATTCATATAAGTGTGAATTTGGGTGTATAAGGATCTAAGTATTATTTTGTATATGTATGTTGAACCGAAGTACTGGACATCAGCCATTAACAAGACTGTTTTTGACTCTTCAGAAACTGATGCCTCTTAGCTCCTAAGGAAATGTGGTTGGTTTCTAATGCTCCTCTTTGACGATTCATTTGTGCTTTCAACCTCAACTGATTGGAGTATTTTTAGCACATTTTCTGTTCAGACACCACTTTGACGAGTTACATTATTCAGTTTTCCAGCAAATTGTTCCCACTCTTCCCTGCCAGAGGTCTTCACAGTCGTGCGACCACAGCAACATCTAAGAGCAGATTAGGGAGTTTTGTGGGTCATGGAAAATGCTGTCTGATTTGCCCTTCACTCATCTCATATCATGAAACAAAGGTTCCTTTACATGCCATAAATATATGACATGGGAACCAAGACTCTATGTCCCTTCTGACAGAAGTTTTGCTATGAATTTTTATCACCTTTAAAAATCCATTGACCTTGGGCAGGTTTGAACCCACGATCCTTGGGCCTACTAGATTACTACAGTGACTTTGAGGATTTAGTGAATTTGTATACCTGAAATTGGAGTATGGATTTATTCTAAAAGACATCATGTTAACACATTCACTGTCAGACCTGGCACATACCCAGTTTCATGCTGAGCTTGGTATGGTTATTTGTATCTCCAACAGATGGTAGAGATGGAGCTTCATGACTTGTACTCTTCACCAAGTTATAATCGAAATGATGAAATCAAGTTGCATGCGATGGGTAGGGTATGTTGCATGAATGGGGGAAGAGAAATGCATATAGGATATTGGTGGGAAAGCCAGAAGGGAAGATACCAATAGGAAGACAAAGATGTAGGTTGTTGGATAATATTAAAATGGATGAGATGGTGTGGACTGCATTGATGTGGCTTGTGATAGAGACCAGGGGAGGGCTCTTGTGAACACAGTAATGAACCTTCAGGTTCCATAAAATGTTGGGAAGTTTTTGAGTAGCTGCACAACTGGCGACTTCTCAAGAAAGGCTGAGCCCCATGACGTTAGTTAAGGTTTGTAATGCCCATTTGCACAGGTTAATCATGGCTATTTTACAGTTGCAGTACCAAAAAAAATTTTGATGGAGTTTATGTAGATGATGGTGATGATAATCATAATTATTTTGATGTTGATAGTTTAGATGATGCCATGTTAAGTTGGTCAGTTGTCGTGACTTCATGACATATCGTCAACTTGCGGATGGAGGTTGTGGCCTTGTGATATAGATGGTACCTCCATATATATTGAATAGCTTAGATGATGAAAGGAGTAGGTGCTGCAGCTGTCATGTTCCTCTCTGTGTACAGGAAAGATTTACAGTATATGATACACTGAATCTGTATTAATCGTGCAGTCAAAATTTCATTCCACTAAGTTATATGCAGTAGTTCTCAAATTATGCATTTTTGTCGTGAGCATTGTGATATGATTCTGTCACCATGAAAAATATGTGACACAGTGGATAGAGCTATCATTTAGGTGCATCCCAATAGTATACGGCTTTCTGGAAGAGAATCTTTCTACGATGTTCTCTTTGTGTGTTGTAGTCACGTTGGTGGGCGTGTATTGGCAGCGCTTGCAGATGGATCAGTAGCTGTATTCTGCCGAGGTCCTGATGGTCAGTGGGACTTAGGAAGTTATCATTTAGTTGACCTTGGTCGGCCCCATCACTCCATTCGATGCATGGTGACTGTCCATGGAAGAGTGTGGTGCGGCTACAGAAACAAAATTCATGTATTACACCCAAGAAGTTTACAGGTGGAGGTGAGTAGGTAAAGTGGGTGAATATTGTGTGTATCCTTCTGTAATAAAGTGTGAACATATTTTACAGTTTTTATAAAATTTGGTAAGAAAGAAGTCACCCCAGCATGGTGGACATGTAGATTTTTTAAACTAGAAACAGTATTCATTGTAGACAGAATATTTCATAATAATAGACATCATATGCAGAAGTTCAACTCATGTTACACATATTGAGGGTTAAAATGGAAAATTACACCATGGTGATTATGTGAAATCTTTTTGTTTTCTTGATAATTGACAGGTGCATACATTTTGGTAGGTGGAAAATGAATGCCTATGAACTTTTTATGATACATGTTTAGGCTGAAAGTATTGATGTAGCAGTGATTCAAACTTCTAAGTCTGAGTTTCCAGAAGAATTGGAAGTCAGATCCATCAGAGATGTTTGTTGATTCTGTGATATAGAAATGACTGAGAACTCTCAGGACATATAAGGAAGGATTGGGAGCACTTATTTTTTGTATAGTAGAAAGGCTCTGCAACCAAGGCCCCCTACATAGAAGACAGATATCCAAACATCTGAGCCGCTTCTCACATGCAACATTTTTGTAGAATTTTGAATTTTTGTTGATTATATACAGTTAACAAGAATTCCTGGGAAGAACTGGTTGCCTACTGACCTTGATATGACATGGACTTCATAGAAAATGGCACATGTAACATTTCTTCTGTTGTTGCATGTATATTTATTGCAATGGTGACATTTTTAATGAGCCATTGCCTAGCAACAATAGGGGGACACACATACAGGGTGTTTCACGACTTTAAGGCATAACTGCAGGAGGTGATTTCCTAGGTCTTTGTGATCAAAAAATTCATATAAACATGTGTCTGATTTAGGACGGTTATGGAGTTATGATCGTTTTAAACTCAGAATAGAAGGTAACGATTACTGACAATAAACGGAACAAAATAATAAACCAGCATAATACATGATACATTTAAAGTATGAATGTAAAGTTAACTTCATGAAATTACCTTTAATTTAAATGGATTGGTGCTTAAAGCTGATTTTCGAAAATGCCACCGCCGGCCGCAACGCAGGCTGCCGCTCGTTTGTGAACCGCACGGGTAGCATGTAGCAGCTTCAGCTGGCTGTTTCTGTGATCAGCAGCGTCCAGGATGCGACCGAGCAAAGCATCTCTTGTTGCCACCTTCACATTGTAAACCAGTTCTAAACCAGTTCTTCCATCCCCACACACAATAATCCAGTGGGCTTAAGTCTGGAGACCTGGCTGGCAATTCTTTGCGTACTCGTACGTGGACTGCGGTGTACCATACAAACAATGCCTTCTTCATTGACACCTTCATTAACACCACCTTCTGCTGCAATATGAACACCGGGAAGTCTACCGGTATCTCGCAATGCCTGGTAAACTCCAGTAAACACTTTCCGGTTCGGTATTCTATGATTCGGAAACCATTGCTGATATTCAGCTACGGCAAGAACTGAGTTACCGTCACAAAACCCGTACACATAAATCATATCTGCATACTCCTCAAATGAAAATGTAAATGGCATCATGAACGTAACAGACGCACCGAGATGAGAACTGTTCTGAACACCAGTAGCCGCCACACTAGCCGTGGCCTTACACACCAACCCACCACGCCTTAGGTACCTCTCAAGTGTCGAGATAACGAGAACGCTCTGTCTGTAGCTGGCTAAAAATAGCGACCTGCCTGATGATAGACGCGGTTCACACGAGGGCATGTACTGGAATGAAAAAACAGTCATAACTCCGTAACCGTCCAAAATCGGACACATGTTTATATGAACTTTTTTGATTACAAAGACCTAGGAAATCACCTCCTGCAGTTATGCCCTAAAGTCATGAAACACCCTGTATAGACACAGACTGATGGGAGAGATTATAAAGTATGCCAGTGAGATGAGTTCAGGTGCCATGATATACATAATTTCATGCCAAGTTTCATAAAGATTGGTTCAGCCATTCAAAAGATAAGGGGGGGTGGTTACACAGACATAGATTGCATGAGCCTATTTTTTTATAAATAAGAAATGTAGGTCCAAAAACGGATATGCACTCCTGTAAAAATTATTTAGATGTAATATTATAATATGTGATAAAGCTGTATGGAGTAACAGCCCAGAAAACAATTATCTGATAATTTAAAATCACAATGTAATAATTTAAAAACATAACATAGCTGTAGTACAAAACATATAAGTTTTATTTATATTTTATGATAGTTCATGAACAATTGCAGGTAGGTGTGTGATGTTCACTGTTTGTGGATGAGGATTTTCTCTGCCTTTTAAAATTCTGTATGAAACGTCACATTTATTGTCCTTGGGATCTGTGGCTGTAATGTAATGTATAACTTAAGCTTTCAGGAGTAAGCAACATAGAATGTTGAAGGTCTTCCCATATTTTGGCAATCATAGTCATTACCATTTTTAGAGTAAGTGTGTGGGGAAATTTGGAAGCACTTATATAGATATGGTGAAAGTTGTCCCTTTGCATAATTAATTGAACACTGTGCCATGACATATGGGGGAGTGAAGGTGTAGCTCCACATTTCTATACCTCGGCACTAGTTGGAGATGAGTGGTCACTTTCATGCCCTGGCTGCTTTACTCCTGGTACCCATTATGTAGGAGGCTGGGTGAGCCCCAGAGCTGGTCTGAACACTGGAGAATAGAAAAATCTTCCCATGCCGGGAATCAAACCAAGGCTGTCTGGCCCATAGGCCATTGTTATACTGACCCCTTATATAGGTATGGTACTAGGTGGTGGTATTATTATTATTATTATTATTATTATTAATGGCCGTGGGGATTTGTTGTGCTGACCACGTGACACCTCTATCAGTAAAAGTTGGCACTAACTTCACCGACAAGCAGCAGTCGCTTGGTCGGTATAGTTCACTTGCGGACTAAAATCGCGGAATTTNGTGTCAACCACAGATCCCACATGACCAGACCAGGGCTTGAACCCAGGCCATCACTCTGGGTAGCCAGTGACTAACCGCCTGAGCTATGGCGCAGCTTGTACTGGGTGGTAAGTGGGAGGTGAAGGCATGATTGAATGAAAGAGATGAACTTTGTGCTATCCTGTAGGGTGTAACCACATGATTGAGGGAAAGAGGTAATGGAAAAGGTTTTTTTGGAGACCAGGTGTTGAGGAAAAGTGGCAATAAAGAGCCTTTTAGTAACCTCATGTTTTAAGATGGGAGAAGATCAGAAGGGTTTCTGTAAGTGACATGGTAAGAGGAAGAGATGATGAAAAATATTTTAGGAGTGATGGGGAAAAGAGACACTGAGAAAGTTTTAATTGTGAGGGCTATTCTGAAAATAATCTCCATTTATTTTATTCAACTAATGTAAGAGCAGGAGAGCTTGCACATGCGAAGTAGCATCACATGATTTATTGCCTTGTAAACCATCACATGTTTGGTCACAGAGTTTTTGTTCTTCTCTCTGTTGAGTGAGTTATGATGTGTTGTGCAATTGATAATCCCACCAAATGCGAAATTCACGTTATTCGCTTTCTTCTTGCTACAAACATGAGTGCTGTGGAAATCCATTGTGAATTATGCACAGAAGTTTATGGCCAAAATGTAATGAGTGAAGGAACTATAAGACACTTGTGGGCGGATGATCGACGTTCATGAAGAATGAAGTGGTAATCTGGCCATTTCTTGTGGGTGATTTTGTATAAAGTGTTGATTAGAAAATTTGTGAAAGACAGTTCTTCACAATTTGAGAACTTTCATGTGAATATTCATAAATTTCATGCACTGTTCTCTATGAGATTATCAGATTTAGGCTAGACTGTCACAAGTTTTATGCAAGATGGGTTCTGAAATGCTCATGGATGCACACAAAATGCAGAGAATGGCTTCGGCTTTGACTTTTTAGAGCCATACTGCAAAGATGGTGATAAGTTTCTCAGTCACATTATACGAGTAACAGGTGATGAAACCTGGGTGCCATATGTGAATGTTGAAACCAAAGAGCAGGTAAAGCAGTGGATGCACATGTTCACCAAACAAGCCAATAAAGTTTAAACAAACGTCTGCCTGCCAGAAAGCTGATGGCAGCTGTTTTCTGGGACAGGACAGGAAAGGAGTGCTAATGGTGGATTTCATGCAACAAGGGACCACAATAATGTCAGAAGTGTATTGTGAAGTACTAACAAAACTGCATAGGACGGGCGATTCAGAACAGAAGGTGTGGAATGCTGATATCAGTTGTGATGCTTCATGAGAATGCACATCTGCATACAGCTGCTCGCACTTGGGCAATGCTGGACTATTTCGGCTGTTGTCTGACCACATTCTTCACAATCCTGACCTCACTCTGAACAGTTACCACCCATTTCCCCACCTGAAGAACTGGCTGCGATCACAGTGCTTCAACAATAATGAAGATTTGATGGAAGGCATCAAAACAAAGCTGAACTCACAGGCAGCAGACTTCTTTGACACAGGCATACAAAAACTTATTACCACATATGACAGGTGTCTCAGTTCCAGTGCTGACTACATTCAGAAGTAGCTTCAGTATGTACATATTTGTTATGTTTGTAGTACAATTTTGTTCCCATTGTTTTGTTAACAGCTGACCTGAGTTTACTTTCTGAATAGCCCCTGTGTTTTAATTTAACAGCGTTAATGAAAGTATATTATGTAAGTTCTAATCTGGTCAGTGCAATGCACATCTCAAATCCATAGGAGTGGAAATCCTGTACATGTTATTTAGTATCTGATTAGGGTTTCCACCCATATGAAGTGATTGGGTAATCCAATCAGTAATTATCAATGATGTGTAATTGGTGTATTGAATAACTTATGTATGGAGGAAACATATATTATGTACTCATTGCCTTAGAAGTCCTTGGATGCTCATCCACGACGTGAGAGCCAGGTTCGACAAATGGCCTGGCTTGGAGATGGTGTGTGGGTATCAATCCGATTAGACTCCACGCTAAGGCTGTATCATGCTCACACATACCAACACCTCCAGGATGTGGACATTGAACCTTATGTCAGTAAAATGCTAGGTGAGTACAGAGTTACATTAGGCTTTGGGTGCTTCCTTCCAGATCCTCTCTCCTTGACATGAGTTTCTGCTTCCAGTCTCTCTTCTTAAAGGCAAAACCTTTTTATGGTTGATAATCCAAATTCATTAATGCCATGATACAGATACCAGAGAAGTGACTGTCCTTTTGCACTTGTAACAGTAACTCATAAGAGAAGTTAAGAAGGGAGGAGATAGAATAATTGCATGTAAAAACCTGTAAGGTATAGGTAAAGTTGTCCCTGTGCCTATCTAATTAAGCACTACGCCATGAAGATGTATGGGGTGGGGGAAGTGGATGTATACATCCACGTTTACTTGACCTCGTCACTAGTTGGAGGTGAGTGGTTAGCTTCATGCCCCGGCCGTTTTACCCCCCAGGGAAAGAGCCTTCAGTACCCATTGGGTAGGAGGCTGGGTGGGCCCCCGAGCAGGTGTGGACGACAGAGAAGAGAAAATTCTTGACCTTATCAGGATTCAAACTCCCACCCCTCTCTCATCCAGTCCATTTCCAGTCGCTATACCAACTGTGCTGTTCCGGCTCTGTAGATAAGAATTGATTAGTTCATTTAAAACAGGATTTTAAGGCAGTGTGATTAAGAACTTAAGTGTAAAGTGGGTGAAATATGAATCTTTTCAACATAGTGCATACAATGCACACATATACGCACATACACACACGCAAAAGAGAGACAAAACATCAGAAATTTGAGCCACATCCTAAGTGGAAACCTGTACTGTGATCATAAGTGTGAGTAAATCAGATATCAGGTTAATGGAATTTCATAGTTACAAAATATTTTATTCTCAGTACAACCAGGGTTCTAATCTAAAAGTTGTTGAGCATATTCTATTTTAGTTCTTATTATACTCAATCCAGAAATTCCTTTTAAGAAGCCCAGATGTTCAGCCTTGCAGTTTCACCCATCTCATACCACTGCACTTATTGTATGGAAGAACAGTATCATTAGAATAGGCATAAATATAAGCATAAGCATAAATTTATGAAGATTCTTTTAGTAACATACTGTCATGTTTTAGTGACTAGGCACAGGGTTTGGGTTAGTAACTAGATTTACTGAACATTTACAACTCATAACTACAAGTTATTATAGTGTTTTCACTAATACATGTACTTCACTTCTTATCACAGCATGCACTAAGTCTTCTTCATCTTCATTGGCCATTGATTGGCAATAGATCCAGACATTATCCTCTTCTGCTTATGTTGTTACTGGCTGGTGACTGTCTCATGTCTAACTCATTGCTCAGAATGTTTAACTGTGCCTCAGTCCTCCTTATATAACTTTGGCACAGACCACATAGAAAACACTGCCTATAGTAATGGCCTGAATTGTTGGTTTCATATATGTTGCTGTGGAAATGTGCTTATCAAGCCATTATCACATGATGGCCATCTCTTCTTGCTCCACTGTTGTAGTTTTTGAGGTGCCATGTCACAGCAGATACTCCCCTGAACCATTGCTTGTTAAGTTTTTGGCTTGTCAGGCCTGTGGAAAGTAGCTGTCAAAAGGCAAATCCATATGAATCCACCTATTCTTGGAGAAGGAAAAACTCGTAGCTTCACTATGGCCTCATATCTTCATGTACCAATCCTAGTCAGCTGCTGTTTTATTCCTGAAGCAGCAAGAAGTGGCATATGTCATGGCTTTGGGTGATGCTGTAACTCTCAAACATCCTCCAGGTTGAAATTTTGGTGTTTTGCATCCCAACCCTTGCATTAGCATGCCACCCAATTAGCACCCACTCACTAAGGGATACAAGCTGATTAATCATTGTTAATCAGTGTAACAAAGCATAATAATAGGAAAGGTAAGGATCTTGGAGATCTGTTGGAAGTTCTTAGCATGCAGAGACTCAGCAAGCATTGTTCCCCTCAGTAATGATTCTGTTTGGGTGAAAATTCTTTCTTGGTCTGATTACTCAAAGTGAGTACTAATATTAACGGTAACAAATGATGACAGCAGCGGCAACAACAACAACAACTATAATCATAATAATAAGCAGAATAACATGTTCACTTGAGATAAACAGATCGTATATATAGGTGAACACAAATGATGTTTACAGTTTCATAAATTTATCATGTAACAGTAGCCATATTTGATTACAACTGTCAAATCTTTTAATAAAAGTGTGCATATTCAGTGACTATGATTTGCAGCCAGGGGTACTGCAGTCATGAGAATGGCAGTACCTCTGTGAAAGGTGAAGCATTCCCTATGCTTTAATAAAACCAAATGTGTGAAATGAGTGCATTAACATTATTTGTCTGAGTCTGGAGAGGATCCACCTTCAGAACCATCTGTTTGTGCATTTTACAAACAATTCTGTGAGACATGTTGTTTTTGTAAATGGAAAGTTCCCTTTGCTGCAAAATGTGTTGATGGTACTAGGTGCATATATTGAACACCTATCAGTGGTAAAATAAGCTTTGACAGTTATAGTTTAATGTCTAAATTTGTGGATGTTGTATCTTGCTTCATTTCTTCAAAATAAATTTCTGAAATTGTGAAGATCATTCATGCTCATGCCATGTATGTACATGTGTGTTACACAATTACATACTGATCTGTGAATATCTGAATTAAAATTTGAGCAAGAAGTAATTAGTATAAACAAAATCTTATGTGAATAATTGTTTATGACTTCAGTGCTATGTGCTATAATGGTGTAAGGTCTTAAACTCTGGATTTAAACAGGAAATATTTGTTTTAAACAGGAGTTGCATCTGTTTGTTGTGCTAATAATCTTTTATGCTATAGAAAACTTAGAGATGTGGATAAAAAATGGTCATTGTCAAGTTTACGGATGTTGTGTAAGAATGATCGATGGGTCCTATATGTTTTCCTCGGTTGTGCTATTAAAATACTATTTGTATGGCAATTGATCACAGCTCTCATCACATTAGTGCCGAATTATGTTTTGCTACAGCAGAAGTCAGTGTGAATGTACTCAGTTTATTTAAAAATATGACTTAGAAACCTCACCTGTAGCTAGTGTGCTGTTTAAATCCTGGCTTATGGCTTTACAGATGCTATAATTATACTGCGTGTAACTGCGTCTATGCTGCAGTATGGCCACAGTTGGCATGTTGGTAGTATACATGTTAAGAGAAGGTTGCAGTTAGCACTAATGTTGATTGTTTCTGTTGTGTTGTTCTATGCTTTCCTCTGCTCTGGGTGTTGCGCACGTTGCATTACGTGCGTGCGACGTTCATTGCTATGTGCACTTGCGTAGCAGTGTTTCCTGGAGGTAGTAAGCACACATTTCTAGTTTTTATTCTATTTATAAGCTTTTGCTAGTTGACATTTTGTTTTGCCTGTTGCCTGCTTGGCTTACTGTGAAACTGTCATAACATAGGATCCCATACCTTTACAGAAGTTATCCATATAAGATATTTTTATGAACCATGAAGAACAAGTTTTCTCCTATTACAAAGTAAATATAAAACATTTCAGCTTGCCAGTTCTCAGTTTTTATTGGAATGTAACTACTGAATGTGAGTTTTCAATATTCAAATTGCTGTAGAGTTCATAACTTAGATAGAAACACCCCCCCCCCCAGAGAAGTGACTTGGCATTATGACTTTGACTTCATCTTGATGTTTGCAGCTGTCATGATTGAGACTGTTTTTCTTCTGGATATGACAGCATGTTCTCTGGTAGATAAGTACCAACTTTCAGAGAACATTTTGCCTCCATCTTCTTCCATCCAGAAGGTCGAAGCAACAAGTTCTCCTGAAATATTGGTATCTGTTTACCATATTATATGGTGTGTCTTCCCAGAAGAAATAATCTTAATTAACCTTAATCCCCCCCCCTCAAAAAATAATTAACTCAGAGCAATGACTTCCAAACTATGTTTCTTGGAAACATAGGTTTCTCAGTGAAATTTCTCTGATGGAAGACTATTGGATAGATTTATTTTAAAAAGTTGTCAGACAATTCCGATTTTGAAGAAAGCAGTCTTCTGGGATGTTGCACCATGTAGATGTGGTGTTAACTGACTTTTTGGAGGAACGTATCACCTCCATCTTCAGGGTAGAAGGAAAAATAAGACAATCCACAAGCAAAGAGGCTGTGAAAACCGGTACAAACAGACGTTGGTTAACACCACATTTACACGGTGCCACATCCCAGAAGACTGCTTTCTTCATAGTCACCGCCATGAAAACCTCAAATCTTACAATTCCGATTTTGATTGAAATTGGACAAAACTAAAAATATTTCGTATGAAGACCTACTTGCATTTCTTAACGTATCTTGAGTGTAACTTCTGGATGACTGTCCACATATGTATCAGAATGAAAAATGTTTCAAACAAAAGTTGTAGAGAAAAATTAAGTGTATTATATTTTTTTTCAGTAAGCTGCTTTTTTCTGGGGGTGGGCCGGGTTGATCTGACTTAGAATAGTGACCAGTGGAATGCTCTTGTGATCAGGTTAGTGAAGCCTCAGGTTCCGTAAAATGTTGGGAAATTCTTGAGTAACTGGTACAACTGGCTGCTTCTCAAGCAGGACTTGGCTCCGTGGAGTTAGTTAAGCCTTGTGGTTTTTAAGATAATTACAGACTATTTTTCACTGTCTTATTACTTGAAATCCAGTGGACTAATTTTGATAAACTTGAATAGTGGTAGTTATTGCACACATCTGTTGAATGTCATATCTGTCTGTAACACAGTATTAGCCCCTAAATCAGACAGATTTTCATTTTAATTAATAAACAAGAAGTTCAGTAAATATATATCATGCATTTTTAGTGCTTGGCCAGTGACCCATAATAAAATCGACTTAACAACCATAAGTGGATGTTTTTGGTCTGACATGCTCCATTGATAAAATTTCATAAATGGACCACAAGTGAGCTTAATAAACTGCAAAGAATGCTCCTGGAAATTCTGAATACTACATTATATAGCAGACCATTTTGGATCTTGTTAGTGCCAAGGTCAAGGAAGGTTGAACTATACCTCCAGTCCCCCATGTCTTCATGCCATAGTGCTTAACTAATTAAGTACAGGGACAACTTTTTTCTTTCTTTTTTCCTCTCTGTCCCCCACTTGTGAGAGGGTGGGTGGGAATGTAATATGCAGGTGACTTGCCTCTTATGCATTTATTTTAGACTCTACAAAGAATGCATGAAAATTTGTCTTAAGAAAGAGTAGCAGTTATTAACAGGTAGCAAACAACACCCTAAGTGTTATAAAAGAATAAGAAGGGTAAATTTTGGTGTAATAAAGACTTGCAGAAACAACCCACAACTGCTCCTATGTCATACAGTGAGCACCAAGTGGGGTATATTTGCTCCCCTAGTTGCAAAACATGGAACTAGAAGTAGTTGATGCAGTAGCATGGTTACAAGGAACATGTATGTAGTATGGAAATTGTCAGGGATGTGCACTGAACCTAATTAGCATGTACAGTTGTATGCCAGTTGGTGTCAACATAGTTAAAAATAGGCTGTTTCAGTCTGAGATGAGGTAAAGATGAGAATTTGATAGAACTTCAAGAATCGAGAAGAGAACTAGAATTTCTCTAGTAGACCAGTTCCTTCACCATAATAATCTATACTACCAAGCACTTCTTCACAGTGCACTAAAGTGTACTACTCTATTTACATAAATGGAAGAGGGTTTCAAATGTCAGATGATCCTGTGCAGAGAAAATAATTTTGTGTATTAATTTTGGACTCCAAAAACATGAAAGGAAGTAAATACTAGAAAATATGGTACATATGGCCTTTGTTGAGTTAGTTTCCTTCTTAACGTCACTAGCCTTTATTCAGCTATACCAGTCTCACTCTCTTTACCATTCCTGTTGCCTGTCTCAGTTTCATTGTCTTGACAATACCCAGCTTATGTCTCACATTCATTGCTGATGTACCAACATTCCCAGCTTATCTTCCCCTCTATCCATTTTGTCAGATATACTGTGCTTTTTTATTTTAACCCCTCAAGTGTTTCTTCTGGAGAGGTCATCTCTCCTGGTATAATGAAAAGTCAGTATTTATTACATGAATCAGAGATCTTATCATCAGTGTTAAATGCCCTCTGAATGCACCCAGCACAAGCATTTCTCATTTTATCAACAATACTCAAGGTTTCTTGTTTCAATCAACTTGTATCTATCATTCATTGATTTGTGTACTTATCCTTCCCTTTCTGTGACACATGATTATTATTTCCATGTGTAGTTGTGCCTTAGGTATAGCTTTTATATTCAATATCAGATGTGGTAGTTCTATACTACCTGTCAACTCTGACAGCATTTCAGCCAGCTTCATCATTTCATTTTTTGTGTCTTATGACAACAGATTTTGCACCTATGTCATTAATGGTGTAATTGGATGACATCAAAATATGCTGGATTTTCATCAGTAGTGCCTAGAAGTGTGATTGTAACTTCTTGCAAAGTGAAATTCTTTATCCTACAGAAAACTTGTTCTTCATGCCACTTGTATCACCCAGTGCTGGACTTAAATTTTTTCTACTCATTGAGTTTCATGATGTTATACAAAACTTAGATTCCATTCTGTCTTTGACTCTGTAAAAATGAAGGTATTTGCACGGAATTTGCAGAAGTTCATGTTTCCACCTTCAGATGTTTGTCTGTGGAGTATTATCTTACTGTTTCACAGTTGCTTGTTTGTTTTGCATGTGTAATCACCATAATCCTAAAGTATGGATAAGAGCTGTGTCACCTGGTACCTTCTGACACATTATTCACTTTCACATTAGTACTTTTCTTCACATGATATGACATTTTTATGGCAAGGTACACTTGCATCAACACAAAGTACTGTGATATTGTAAATCATTCAGTTACCACTTTTGTTTTCCTACTGTGGCAGCCCAGGTTCAAGCCTGGCTCTCGTCATATGGGATTTGTGGTTGACAAAGCAGCACGGGGGCAGGTTTTCTCTGAGCACTTTGGTTTCCCCTGCCAATCTTTATTCCACCATTTGCTCCACAATCACCATCGTATGATATCTGAGGATGATACAATAGACCAGTTGTGGCCACAGCACCAGGTGGACTCTGTCTCACCCTGCTAGGAATAATAATAATAAAAAAAATAACACTTTCGTTTCCCAACTTTGATGTACTTCGGATGGCTGTGTGGTGGGTCCTGGCTTGTGACCATTTAAGATATTTATTACTCATTTTCTCGCTTGCTATGCTCCTGGCATAGTAGCATGAACATGCTTAAAGCTTAAAATGAATTAAAATGATCTAGTGTGTGGGTGCATGTGTGTGCAGCTGTAGCATTCAGATTTGTTCTGATGACCTCTGTAGTTTTGTAACTCAGAAGAGGGTGAATGTGATACCACTCTCTTATGACCCCAATATGTAAAGCAAAAGCATATAACAGAAAATTCTCAATATTCAAGCAAAAATAAAAGTTTGAACCAAAATTGAGAATTTACTTTCTCAGTTCTATCTTGAAAATTCAAAACTTTCACATGTCTAGTTAATATATCAGATATTATGGCCCGATTCTTCTGTTTATGATGAATGAAAGAAATACATTTTATTATTTATCAACACTTTGTACAACAGTAGGAAATATCAGTCTTCCATAAAGCAGGGCTGATGGTCAAATTTTTCTTTCATGGTTTTAACTATGTAGGTCGTACTGAAAGTCATGAGCAACAATTTTTTGTAAAGTAACATGCTTTATTATTGACAAACCAAATACACCACCTCAGTCTACAGACCTTTCTTTATTTTTCCACATAATTGCCACTTCTTTGTACACATTTCTCCCAGCATTCTGGGAGTTTGAAAATTCCCCTTCTGTAAAATTCCGTTCCAGCCATTCTATCCTCTTTAAGCACTGCGTTCTGAATTCACCATGCTTATGGAAGTGTGTGCATGGGTGTGAGCAGTGTTCGAAGATGGGTGAAACATTTTAAAGATGGGAACACCAGCATCGAAGATGAGCCTCAGAGTGGCCTCAACTGAACGCAACATGGAAAGAGTGAATGAGATAATTCAAGATGACAGGCATGTGACTGTGGACACAATAGCCCGAAAACTTGGAATAAGGCACAGTGCAGTACAGGAGATGATTGAAAGCTTGGGCTATAGGAAAGT